TAGATAATGACGCCAAATCTTCAAGGTGAACACCACAACTTCTAACTCTAAATCATACGACGGATGATTCCGTTCGTGTGTCTTTAACTGCCTTGAAGCATAGACTACCACTTTACCTTCTTGCATTAAAATACATCCCAAACCATTATGAGATGCATAACTATAGGTTACATAATATTTGTATGACTCTGGCTGCACTAATATCGGTGTCTCTGTTAGAATATTTTTAAGCATATCGAAGCTTTCTTGGTATTTTTTAGTCCAGAAAAGTAGTACATCTTTTCTAAGTAGTTTGGTAAGTGAAGAAGCAATCATTAAGAAATTCTTCATGAATCTCCGATAATAACATGTTAATCCCAAGAAGCTTCGAATTTCAAAAACATTCTTTGGAGTTCTCCACTCCACTATAGCTTGTACTTCCTTGGGATCTACTCTGATTCATTTCTGTTGAAATTACGTGGCCCAGAAAAGTGACCTCTAGCAACCAGAATCCGCATTTTGACAACTTAGCATACAAATTCTTATCTTGCAGCACCTGAAGTACAGTGCGAAGATGCACATCATGTTTTTCTTTAGTCTTAGAATATACCAAAATATCATCGATGAATACGACTACAAACTGGTCCAGATACGGTCGAAACACCCGATTCATCAAATCCATAAATGCTTCTAGAGCATTAGTAAATCCAAATGGCATGACTACAAACTCATAGTGAACGTATCGGGTCTTGAAAGTCGTTTTTGGTATATATTTTTCTTTATTCCTTAACTGGTGGTACCCCGATCAAAGATAAATCTTTGAAAATATGGAAGCGCCCTGAGCTAATCTAATAGGTCATCAATCTTTGGAAGAGAATACATTTATTCTTCATCGTCATTATAATAAGCTAACGCTAATTTATACATAGCTACATCTAATCATCTTTCTTTTTAAGTAACAGTAACAATGTACCATACAAAGTTATATGCGGTCTGATAAAACTTTGATCAAGTAATTCCTGCAACTGAGCCTTAAGCTCTCTGAATTCTATTGAGCTATTCGGTAAGGAGATATCGAAATAGGTGTTCTGCCTAGAGCAATATCAATCTTAAACTCTACCTATTGATCAAGAGGTAATAAGGATAATTAATCAGAGAATACATCTGGAAATTTCTACTTATTCACTTTACTCTCATTCTAAGACCCAAAAGTTTCATTGATATAATAAATAAATTCTAAGAAAATGCATGTTTAATTCAATCTTTTATTAACACCGCTTATTCAAGAATTCTATTCCCAACATTAAATTACTACTATATTACTTGAAGTCATTCTTCATAAACTTTCTCATTTCAATCTTACTCCAGTTACTATAAATCTTGAAACTCTTCAAGTTCTTCAAATAAACAACTATTCTTATTTGAACTCATTTTAAATCTTTTCAAACAATAACATAATTATCATTTGATTCACTAATAACTTAGCTTTCTTTAAACTTTTAGTATTCAATCTACTTACCTATAAGAATTCCAGGATCATCGATAAGTTCAATACTTTTCGGATCCTCCTCAGTCTTAACTTCTCTTATAATCCTTTTAAACCTTCTTATATATTCCTCTAATTATGTTACCTTATTAAACTCTGGGTCATTTCTTTCACAGAATGGAGAAAAATCCCTTACAGGTCTAACCTTTCTTGGGTGAGATACTAAAGTCCTCCTGGATCCATTTGGATCGGTTTTAGTCTCGATTCTATTTCTAGTATTATCTTCGTTCTTACTCTAGTTCTTAACTTCCGACATCTAACACATACATTTCCATATCACATTAGTAAGGAGTAGCATCATCAATAAAATCATAAAACCATACCATATCATTAATTTTGATATTCTAGTGACATGTACATATTTCTAACATAACATAGGCTCAATTTAGGCCAAGAATCGACTAAACCTTGCTTTGATACTAATAAATCTAACACTCATAGCCTGTATACGACTCAAAATACAAGCTAAAGAACATCAACTTTAGGAACTTTCACTGAAAGTAAATGCTAAAAATTTAGTTTCATTATAAAACATTCCTTTATCAATTTTATTTCTCACTTCATTTAGCATGCATATTCGTAAAAATAATAATTTATCATTCCAAAATAGGCTGATCTTATGCAGCATTTAGGTAGTTCCATGCGGTTTCTTATATATATACATCTGCCTAATATTGCTTAATTTTAAAACCATTTATAAACCGTTCAGAATATTCGTCCATATTTACGACTATAACTAAAATTAATAAAAAATTAAACAGTCATAAATTACTATTATGGGCCCTTTGAAAATAAATCTGATAAAGCAACCTAACGGATATAATGTACATGCCACTAATAAATCAAAGTTAGGATATCTTACTGATATTGTCGGTAGGTTTGATTTCAATAAGATGCTGGCAATCTCCTTACTTCACGTCCTTTACTTTATTCAAACCTACGCATGAAAATCATCATGCACTAAGTAAAACATAGTGAGGCAATAACATAACTAAAATGATATAAAATATAAATTTCAAAAAATATTATAACATGAAACTGTAATTTTAATGAAAATACTAAAGCTTTCGAACCGAGTTGTTCAAGTTGATTTTCCCTTGAAACATGAAAATCATTCTCACATGATTTCATCAAAAATCATGTAAATCAATAATAATTGTCGTAAACAATTCATTTTCTTGTCATTTTAACTTATAAACTCATAAAGATTCTGATGAATAATACAGATAAAATCACAATATCATGATTTCTTTTAACTGGACGTCATTCATAACTTTCATATTCATTTTCATATTCTGTCATAACTTTTATATTTATATGTATAGCCCAATGTATATGCAAGAGAATATAAGGTACAATAGTTTAAGGTGCGCACTAGGCACAACACGGTGCCAAATCATAACCGAAACTGTGATATGATGCACTTCAGTGTAATCATAACCTAAGCACCAACGGTGCTGAACATTGGTATACGAATATACCAAAGCTGAACTAATATCTCATAACTGGAAAGTACTCACTAAATGGCATGTCAAATGTACCTATGACTCTCAATACAACATACAATGGGCTTATATGTATCATCATAGAATCATTTATTAATTTGTGTCTAATAACTATAAAACATCTTATTTCGATAAATATCTGATAACAATAATCATCTAAATATTTGATAACTATAAACATTTAGAATTTATCATCATAAATATCATACTTGGGTAGTTCATACCCAAAATCATTCATAAAACTTGTTGAAAAATATTATAGAAATATTCCTTACTGAAAATTTATAAATCATGCTGGAAAATAAAATGAGATTGACTTATTACAAGTCGTTCTCGGTTATAATAATCAAATAAATAAACTGCACTCACTTTAACACTTTATTTTTAAAACAAAAATCAAAATATAAGCCTAACTAAGCTTTAGATTTAAATCATTTGCCTTCCACTACTTTCAATACACAATTCATCAAAATTTCATATTCAGGTAGTTTGCACAACCTTCAAACAAATATTATTATGTATTAATATATATACTGAAAAATTATTTTGTTTATACCAATGAAAACTAGACTCGAATAAAAAACTAACCATATAAGGCAACTCTTCTAGTTCAACTTGTATGATTAATAGCGAATTTTCAAAGTTGAGTGACAGAAGCTATTTTGAGCAGAATCTGTTGCCATGTTTTCTGACTTATTCACAATTAAAAATTCATATTTTTTGCGTACACCTCGAAATCAGTCATCATCTATTTTAAACGAATCTAGACTGACATACAAATCTAATGGCGTAGAGATCATCCTCTAATCAATTCTTTATAATTTATGGTGAATTTATAAATTCACTGTTCAAATCATAATTTCTAGATAACTTTTCTTAATTAGCATCCTTAGCTTAATTTCATAATTTTGTAAGCTTAATAAATGAACGTTTAGGCTAGAATCACATTAGGAGTCACTTCTTACCATAATAACTCTGTCACTGGCTCATCGCATGCCAATGTTTGTACGATAACACAAATTAAATGCACTCACCTATGGTTGAATACCCCATGTCACTTTTGGGGAACTTTTTGTTCAATTTCAAGCATGAATTCAATCTCCTTAAAACAAATTCATGTTATTCTAGTCATCACAACATCAAATTTAATCCAAATCAAAATCATCTCTTAAAATGTTAGCCATGGCCAATTGATATATAAGCACCTACACATCATTTTGGTCATTATAGGCAAATGAGGGTATCGATACTGTAAGGTCAGTATCGATACTAAGGGTAAGAAATGGGTTTTAGTTCAAGAGGAGTATAGAAGCAAATGAGGTTTCCCAAAAGCTTTTAATTACTTCCTAATAAGACTATAAGTGGAACAATATTAATGTTTAATTCAAACGTAGAAACCAAATAATTAGTGACAAAAAAGACTAGCATTGTTTGATGCTCGAGAAATGATTCAGACACCCGAGTTCCTTTAGAAAAGCTAGTGGAGTAAAAAGTATAGATGCGGTTTGGATATACCCTTAAAACCGACTAACTAAGGCCAAGACATAACACTCGCAAGGGGTGGGTTAGTCAGTGATATGGTGTCCGATGTAGAATTTCGAGAGGCATATCCCAGTAGACTAGAGGAGTGCATGAGCTCCCAGATGCATTAATCCCTCAACCGTACCATGATGTCTACAATAGCATAGAAAGTGAATATCGCAAGGATATTCAATAGGCAAATCAAATCCGTAAACTTGATAGTTATCCTTTCAGTGATATGCAGTTAATATGTTTTAGCTATTAGTGTGTCGCTAAGCTAGTTAGCTCAGCCTTCGGATTGTTTTCGTGGGTAGGTTAGTAAATCTAGCAAGTGAGGAGTAGTAGATAGACCAAAACCTAGTTCAGAACAGTGCAGATTCAGAGTGCATCTCAACATTTTTGAAAGGGCATGTATATTTGTAAACTTTATTGTCCAGTTGAGTCGTAGTTTCAGTAAAGTGGTATGTATTATTTTTGTAAAGTGTAAATATTTTAATTTGGAGCTCCTCAGAGTAAAGATTTTGTTTATTCTTTAGTTTATTTTACAATTGTTTATATTTAAATAAAGTAAGAAAAAATTGGTCAGTCACTTCGGTGGTTTCGTGTAACACCTTAAATCGATCGACTTTGTGTCGTGCTATCTAGGGTGTTACATATTATTATTGTCCATGCCCATAATAATATTTGATTAAGGATCTTTTAATAATAATCATATTATTATATGGACATTATTATCTTTTAGCTTATTTAATGTACATAAATATAATAAAAGAAAATAACAGTAATGCCTTTATTAAATAAATACGATAAATAATCTATGACAGTGTAATCATCATATGATTCGTCTTTAGACATACTCTAACAAAATTAACCCTTAGAAAAAAGATAAATGAAAAAGGGGCCAAACAACCGAAAACATGTCAGAAAACATAAAAAAAAATTATCTTAAAGGTAGATAAAAATGTATCATACATACAGACTTATTGAAAATAAAAAAAAATATAGACATTTGACACTTATCAAATAAAGTTTGAACCAACGTCTTTTTAGAGGTTACTATCCTTTCAAATTAAAATGTATTTTATAGTTTTGTGATCGCTCAATATGTGGTACTTAACCATTCAAGTAATATATCCAGATTTTCATGGAAAATATGACAATGACAAAGTCAAGATCTTATGCCACATAATTCTCCTCACACGATTTAATTTAACGAGAAGCATAGGGCATAACCATCATCTCCCCATTATAAATCAACATTTTTCTGTTTTGTAGTATAACTTAACATATTTAGTATTGTTTTATCCGACAGTTATGTTTATACTTTGACATCTGTAATCATTTGGGAATCCATTCATCTCCTTGAATGAAATTCTCAACTGAATAGGTATGTACAAACTGTGGTGGAATTTGGGTACTCCATGGAACCCTCTTGGAAACATCGGATCCTCTTCCGGTGTTCCCAAATTCTCCATAGAAAAGAGTCTTCAATCCAATGTCGCCACTCCATGGCGTCCATCCTTCTGGACTTACAAGCTTTTCGATACTACAATCTATGAAAACCGTCCTCGAGTATTCCTTCCATGGCCTTCCCAAATAGTTATTGTGCACTTGAAGATTCTTATTGTAGTGTCTCATGTACTCTTCCGTTCCATTGATAATGCAATTGTGGAAGACGAAACCGGTTGATTCAGCTGGGTCGGTTCTGCCATGAGCCGTGATGACATTGTTGTCTCCTTTTTCGGGATTTGATGTTCGAGGAGCGATCAAAAGTAGGCAATCCTGAAACACAGAAGCCGATGTTCCGAAGATGAAGTCCACGTTGCCTTGGATACGACAGTTTTTGTAGAATTGGCGGAGTGAATTAGAGCACAGGGTGTCTTGATTGCCGATGAATTCGCAGTTCTCGATCACTGACATGTCACTGTCTGATCTGAATGCCACTGCTTGGTGGCCGTCGGAGCCTGCCGTGTTCTCGATCGTGAGGTCTCTCGCCATAAAACCATCTCCAAGAACACCTGCAATACATCAAAACCATATGTGTATATAACAAACGAAACCCTGAAAAACAAGTGATAGAAGGGAGAGGACAGACCCACAGTAGGAGAATTAAAGGTATGGATCCCAGGTTGGTGCACATTTAAAGAACCTGTAATAATGGTTTTACCCATCCCTTCCCCCCAAAACATCACATTCTTCTTCTCAATCGCAACCCTCACTATTTCACGGTACACACCGCTCCTTATTCTAATCACGAAGCGACGCGCTGAGTTTACCGGCGCGGCGTTTACGGCCTCTTGCACCGTCTTGTAAGTACACTCTATATGATCTTTACACACTGTTACGTCCACCTTCAAATTCGTTGGAACCCCTCCTTTAAATCTCAACTCCGGTTTCCGACCCGGTCGGCCCTCGTAAAACCCGTCTCGTTCCGTTTTGGGAGGGGTCCACGAGGCGGTGTTCTCCCCGTGATTATCATAGGCCACCATCATGCTCAAAGCATTGCTGCTGATCTGCTCCAAAGTGTCCAGAGACGACATCACATGGGCGATGGGCATGGCGTCGTTGATGCGCTTGAGCGCGCCCCAACTGCTTTTTTGATAGCCATGGACCGCACTCATCCATGCACGTGCATCTTTTATCTTCCCTTTTGTCAACGCGTCGCGGACTAATTCCATGCGGTACTCCGAGAAAGAAAGCATCTCCACGCAGAAAAGGACGACGGAGGTGTGGTTAACATCGGCGGTGACGCTGTCGCTGACGTCTGCCACCATGGATTGTGCTTTCTTAAGGTGGTCCTTGGAGACGGAAATGGCAGATTGGATCATCTGGATGGTGGTTGGATTTGGATTGGGAGGGAGAACCAGAGATGTTTCACAGAGTTGCGGGAAGCGAGTGGCTTGACATGCATGCCGGATCGGAGACGATTTAGAGACGGAAACATGGGCATTTCCATGGTGGAAGACACCAGCAGAAGAAACAACGGCAAAGGAAAAGAGGCAAACGAGAAAAATAATGTTTACGGCCATGATTTTGGTTTATGGGAGAAAAGATGGGATGTTCATATAGGTTTTGATTTCATCCAAGCAGATTCAGATGAATATCAAAACACCAATTAGCGTTCAAGCATCTTTCCTGGGATTTAGTTCACGTGGGTGGCGAAGACGTAAGCATAGCCTATCCAATTTTCTAAAATAGTATATTTTGTTTGATTGCGCTTTCATACTTTCTAGTCCCTATACTATTCTAAGAATTTTGGATTTAATCATTTTCATTATAATATTATTAGATACTCCAAATTAAAAACAACACTAAATTTAAGTGATGGTGTAAAATTTTTCTAAAACGAAATTCAGAATATGAATGATAAGTAAAATATTATAGGTGGAATAATACTTGATCACTTTTTTGGAGTTATTAAATGATTTATTATCTTTATATATGATTTGATCTCTTAACTATTGTAAAGGAGAAGGCGTTGATTTATTTATTTAAATTCATAAAATCGAAAATATTTTTTTTATCTTTCTTCTTCCTCTCCCCCCAAATGTATTATATATATATATAACTGTAAACGGTGGATTTTATGTCAAGTCAAACACTCGTTATTAGGTTAACAAGAGTTAATGGTTAAGAAACTAAAATATATTGATCTGATAACGTAAGCGATCCTTTTTAAATTGGTGACTAAAATCAAATAGATCGCTAACATAAGAGATCGCCAATATAGTTTACTCAATTTTTAAGTATAGAGATTGAACTTTAAATTTTGTTAAAGTATGGGGATTGATGGCATATTTTAACTATTTGAAATTTTTAAATAGGCCCATGTCCATGATAAACTTAATCAAATAAGATCTTAATATTTTTTTGGGTTAAATTTAACCACATTTGATTTGGATTGAATTGTAAGGGAAAATTTAGAATCTAAAATAAACAATCATGTTTTTGAGTACTTAACTATTTTGATCACCTAACTATTCATTTTAGTCACTTGTCGTTTAATGATGATGTTGATGTGTTATCATAAGATAATATACCACATCATCATTGAAAAAAATAAAAATACCAAATATGTTGAACTTTTAAAGGTAGTTGAGGCATGATTTTAAAAACAAAATAGTCGGGTAACCAAAAAGGAATAAAAGTCATAGTAAAGGTTCTAAGTGTGTATTTTACTCTTTATTTTTTGATTTTATTCTAACAATAACATGCTTACATGCATGGTTTTCAGAACCGGACCGGTTAGCGAACCGGTCATGCTATCGGTTCACTGGTTCAACCGGACGACATCATAATTATTTAAAAAATTAAATAAAAATACCAAAAATATTTAATAAAAAATAATTTTTTATATTACAAGTCATATTCAAAGCAAGTCATAACATATATAAGTTAAAAACCATAAAATCAACTGAAACAAAATGATTCAAATTAACTACAACATAATATTTAAGGTAAAACATAATAAATAATAAATATAATTATATAACTATAATTAAAAAATAAATTTGGGGTTAAAAAATCATAACAAAATGATATTGTTTGGTTTAATTTTTTTTTTAAATAATCCCACATAGCTAAGAAACATAGAAGAGCATCCCAAAAGTCTAAAGAGCAAAAATATGAGAACAAAACAATCTCACATTGCTAAGAAATATAGAAGCGCATCACAACTAACTTCTATAAATAATAGAGGTAATTTGGCATTCAAAATCATGGAGCCTTTTGGTGAGCATTGAGTGAACTATTCTTTAACTTCAATCAAGCTCGAATTTTAGGCTTCAATCGAGTTTCTAATTTTTTTTTTGAGTTCAAGCCTTTTTGAGTTCAAGTTTCAATATTATATTTCGAGTTTGAGTTGAACTTGATAATTTTTAGCTTGTGAATTTGAGTTGAGTTGAGCTTACTTTTAAAGTTTTCAAGTTTGAGTCGAGCTCAGTAATACTCGAGTTCGACTTAACTCGTTTAACAAACGACGTTGTTTGGTCTATTTTTTTAAAAAAAAAACAAAAAACCCGATTTTTCCCGATTTTTCTCTATTTTTTTCAGTTTTCAGCCGGTCTGGTTCGAACGGTTCAACGATTCTGACCGATTTACTAATAGCGGTTCAACCGATTTAAATTAAACTGGACTAAACAATAATTCCTGATTAAACCGATTGAACCGACCGATTCGATCCGATTTTTAAAACAGAGCTTACATGTGTTTTTTTAGACATGATAATGGTTAGTTTACCCTATTATTTATACCTAGCGGAGCACTTGAGCAGACCAAGTCTCCTTTTCGAACTCAATACTCTCGTCTTGATCCATTGAATTATTATTGGCTGCTCTACTCATACTTTCTCTCCCCTTTCGCTCGATTCTTACTCATTTGCATCTTCCTTGTTCTCATGGTGAGTCCTTTTCTATCTCACTCTGTTCCGATTGTTTCTAGGGTTATATCTCGTCTCTGTCTAAAAAACTTCGGCTTTATCCTGAGAAGGAAAACTAATTAGGGTTCTTTTTAGGGTTTCAGTAGCTCTCTTGATTAATGGGTCTCTGATGATTTCTTTGGATTTTACCTTGAAGTCTTTTTTACTTATTTAAAAGTTTCCCGTTTTCTATCTAGCAACTTTCAGGGTGGTTGCAGTTGATTGAGTTGTTGAATTATTATGAAGGCTGAAAATCCTTGCTGGGTTTTTCCTCGTTTATTTTTCAAGCCGTTGAGTCTTCGCGCTGTGCTTTCGTGCTAAAGTTTCTTTTTTTTTTTTTGTGATTGTATTTGCTGTTTTAGATTGAAATTGAGCTAGATGAAAATAGGAGACAATTGACCGACTGGAGATTTGTGAAAATATATTAGAATAAATGATAGCAACTTTTTTTTTTTTTTTGCTGAGATTGAAAGCTCATAGCTTTCTATTGTTTCTTGGATAGACATTTGGATTGTTAAGTTCTAAGCTTAAACAAACTGATATTCTAATCTTACAGATAGCTAGTTGCTCGATTTAAGTGAGGATATTTGCTCAGTTTTTGCTACAAAAAAAAAGTTGTACTACGCTGTCTATCTTTCAGATGGCTAGTTACCATGTTGAAAGAATTTTTTTGTGCAAAATAGTGTGTTATTGTTACCAGTGATAAAATAGAATTTGAAAATTTTATGTAGTTGTTAGCTTGTGACCATCTTTTTGTTGTTTAAATAGTATTTTAGGCATCTATCATTTTGTGTAGCAAACACTATTTCCTTGTGGGCTTTGTGATATCTGTTTGCTTGAGTCGTTATTAGGTTTTATCGTATTTCCCAGAGATTGCTTAACAACATGAGCATAGATGGCAGGTTAGATAGTCCTGTGAATGCTATAGTTCTATGTATCATAAGAGTACATTTGTTAGGGTTCTAATATCAGACATAATTTTGCTGCAGTACTTTTTACAAGGTCAGTGGTTGGAGGAATTACCAACTGCACTCCTTAACTGATGCAATTGTTTTTGCAAAGGAATTCCTTCCTCAAGTGACACATTGGATATGAGCCCATATTGATGCATTAATAGCAGTTTGTTAGTGAAGAGAGCCAAAGTTTTTGACATTGCATATAAAAGTCTGGATCATAATTCAAGAATGAAAAGTTTCTTAATCTTTGGAGTTTGTTTTGCTGAATCATCCTGATGGTCAATATCATTGTTATTGTGGAGGGAAGGATGTGTTGTGAAGGAATACATATTGCTTCCATGCATGAAATGGCCAAAGATCATGTTTTTGTTGGTTGGAACAAATGTCTACAAGTACATAACCTGAATGTATTTCTCAACATGATATAAAGCAGATAAATTATATAGATGGTAGTTCATTTGTGTATATTGAGGAACATTTTCTGACAATCTAAAGAAGAGTCAGATGATTTATGTGCCAAATTGGTGATAGTACATGAATTTAGCTTGTTTTACCGTCACAATTCAAATTTTATTCCGGTCCTAGTATTTGAAATTTCTCCATTATCCAAAATATAAAGCACATTATCAGAATAAAAATAGTTTTCTTCATTTTGAGAATTGCTATATTTATGTATTAAGATGACAGGATTTTGCATTTTAGTATTGTAAGAGCAATAAGAGTTCAGGTCTTGCTGGATATCTGGTTTTTCCTAGTTCTAATTATTTGATTGTATTGATTTGATTTATGCCCATTACTACAAAAATTATACTTCTAAATTTGAGGATATTCTATGCCTGATGATGTTGAGAAATAGGCATTATGAGGGTGCTATACTGAGCTTTCGATTGCTATTTGTATATTTTGGCCTTTAGACTTGTGCTACTTCTTCATGTTTCACATTATGGTAAATTTAATCTCTTGGTTGGATATTTTTATTATGTGCTTGGATGCTCAAGATATTAAGTTGAAGAGTTTTTAAGTTCTAACTTTTTTTGGTGTGGGTATGAGTGGATCCCTTTTTTTCTCATATTTTGGATGTTTTCACCTTACTTGGTCTCTGTAAAACAATGTGCTAATCTGCGTTTTACATGTTCCGTATATCACTGTAATATAAGCAATTTTTTTCTGAATTTTACTGAATTCTATAATGTCACTTTCTTTAACATATGTTGGGTGGAAATTTTCTTGCCTCATTATTGAGTTAAATTACATATATAACTTGGGGGACTACTAGAGTCCAATAAAGGCTTTTTGAGATATGTAATTGCATTTGAAAGTTGGCTTAATAGTGTTTGTTGCTATAGATTTAAAGTGGTGGCACTTGAGATTTATTGTAACGTATCAACTTTAAGGCATGCTATGCCCTGCTGGTTGTTCTACCTTGACATAATCTTTTTTGTTATGAGACATGGGATGAAACATGTATTTGTAGCATTTCCCTTGTGTTAGTCCTTGCTATGGATTGAAATGTTATAGACACTATCTGCTGAATTGCTAGAAAATCTTAATGTGTTCCTTGGAGATGTTTTATAGTTTGCTAATCTGAAACACATTTCATTGAGATATTTCCTTGGTGTAGTTTGTATGTGCAACATGAAGTATGATGCTAAATGTACTCTCATGTGTTGGGATCTAATCGGTATTTAGTGTTTTCTCTTATTCTATAATTGAGTAGCAGTTTTCATAGCTATCACCAAACAAATGGGGCAAGGTTGTTGAATTTGGCAGCTTTGAATTGAATGGTTGGGTGTGGAATATTCAAACCAGAAGGAATCTGTGTGATTGGGAATTGGATCAGTGGCTGGATTTGATGGAAAAACTGAAGGATCTTAAACTGTCAGATTCAGTAGAAGACTTTCTATCTTGGTCTGCAAGTGGTGATGGACTGTTTTCGATAAAATCTTGCAGAAATGCATTCGGAAGGGAGTCTGGGGGCTCTGATTTGTGGTTAAAAGGGGTGTGGTTGGAATTGTCACCACCACGTGTCGAAGCTTTCCTATGGCAGTTAGCTCATCAGAAAGTGGCAGTAAGAGCAGAATTGGTGAACGGAGGAATGCAGCTAGGTGATGATATCCTTTGTCCTTTTTGTAAAGAACACGAGGAATCAGTACAACACTTATTCATTTCGTGTTATGTAGTATGGGAATTGTGGAACAAAATAGCAAGCTTTTGGGATCTAGCCCTAGTCTTTCCAAAGGACCCTCCTTCTTTGCTTAGTCATTGGGGTGAGTTGAGGGTGAAATCGTTGATTTGGAAATTCATTCCGGGAGTCGTATTTTGGTCTATTTGGAAAGCTAGGAATGAAATGGTGTTCGAAAGATCTACTCTTGACAGGCAGTCTCTATTTTTCATTATTAGATTCAGATTATCTAAATGGTTTCTAGCCAAGTGCCCTAAGTTTCCTATTCAGGAGGATGTGCTGATAGGTGACCCATCTCTTGCAGACGGTATTCAAGTTCATAAATTTAAGGATTGTCAGGTGATTCGTTGGATCCCACCCCCTGTAGACTATTTGAAGATGAATGTTGATGGAGCTGTAAGACTAGATGGCTCGGATGGAGGTATAGGAGGTATTTTAAGAGATTGGAATGGCTGCACTCTCCTGATTTTTTTAGAAAATGTTGGTCAAGGTCCCCCTCCAGTTGCTGAGTTAAAGGCTATAAAGAGAGGCATTGAAGTATTTTTGTCTTCTTGTTGGGTTTTTGTTGGTAGGTTGATTGTCGAGAGTGATTGTAAGTCTGCAGTGGATTGGATTCAGTCCCCGGCTTTGGCTCCTGTTTTTCTATTGCCTCTAGTTAAAGAGATCTCAACGCTCATCTCTGATAGGGTGCATTCAGTTAGGCTGATTCCAAGGGCGTGTAATGGGGAGGCAGGCAATTTAGCAAAGAAGGGGATTGGTTGATATTATGGTCTAATCAGTGGTTTTTCCTGTTTTGTATTAGTGGGTTTATGTTGTTTGTAGAGTTCTTAAGCTTTATGGTATCCAGTATGGACTTGTTAAATCTTATGTAATTTCTTGTGATCAATAAAATGTTTAAGGCACTCTTTTTCTCCTTCCGCTGATTAAGGAGCTTCCATTCAAAGCTCCATTAATCAAGGAGGAGGTTTTTAACGAGGCCTAAAATTCCTATAAAAAAAAATAGCAGTTTCCATAGGCAAAATAGTTTTTTCAGAAATTCAACAGAAAAATTAAGCTAAATCTGGTTTCAAACAGTATGTAATGCTGTACACTAGTGCTTGCGATTATATCTGAACATTGACTTCTGGATGTGGGGTATCTTTATATCCATGTTCTTATTTTGTTTTCGGAAATTTGACCTCTGTTTAATGAAATCAGGTTTTCCCCAATGCAGCAGAGTGGACATGAGATTGACTGTGATGTGATCAGATCTTGAAATAAATCAATGTTAATCATAAGACAGATGGATGGTCGCAGTTGATTAGTGGCTTAATTCCATATTTCCAGATCATACGGCATCGATAAGAAATTGTGTTTCTGGTGAGATGAGTGGAAACAGAAGACGAGGTTCTAAGTGGAATTCGAAAGAGGAACACCAGCATTCTCTTGAAAATGTACGAGATAGAGCTTGGCCTGCAAAAGCTGGTGTGTCTTTTCATGATAGAGAATCAGCAGACAGATATTTCTCTTCAGAGGTTGGTGGGAAGGACAAATGGTCTGCTGTCGGAGTCGGTGACATGATGAAATCTAAGCATGGACAGCCTATCAGGGAATCTTTACATGGAAGCAGAATTGGCGAAAAGGATGATAATAATGACTTTGTCAAAAATGGTAACACTGTAACTCCATGGGACAGGGATGAGACCTACAGTAGGAAAATATCACCTGGTCTTGACGATTGGAGGCTTAAAAAACGACACAGTTCTCCTAAAGGTGATTGGAACAGGTCTCACAGGTTGGATTGTCTACTTTGTTTATCCTTGGTTGTTATTTATCTAAATGTTATCCTGTTTGTTTGTATACCATTTGTATACCTGACTTCATTTGATCAATGGCTTACGCTAATTCTTCAATGTTGTTACAAAATTGAGTCTCATATATTTAATGTTTCTGTTTTGCTTTTTCATTTATGTTGAAAATATTTATCTATACTAAATATATTACAAATTTTCCCCCATGTTGGTTCTCTTGAAATCTTGTGTTGTTGCTGCGATTGCATCTCAGCTTAATTTTTTTAATACAATGCTTTAGTACTCTCTTAAGTAGTTCCATTATGGTTCATGCTTATTTTTGTGGATAAAGGATTCTGTTTTTCCATCCTTCTTCCTGTGTAACTCTCACCTTTCTTTCGAATAGTATTGGTTTTTTGCTTGTATCTAATCTTAGTTATATCCTCAGAAGCAGTAGGAGCCGGAGCAGAAGTCGCAGTAGAAGCAGGAGCCGGAGTCCAGTTTGTGGAATTAAGTGGCAACCAGGATTCCATGAGAAAACCAGAAAAATATCTGGAGTTTCAACTCGATTATGTAAAGATTTTATGTCTGGGAGATGCAGGAGAGGCAGTCAGTGTCACTTTCTTCACCAAGATATTCAAAATCACGAGGATGGTTGGGATAATAGAAAAAATAGAGCTGGTGCTTCAAAGTATATTACTCACGATGATGGTAAAGATTACCCCATTAAGAGTGGAAGGTCTACTGATTGTTGCACTGATTATCTGAAAGGTAACTGCCGCAGAGGTGCATCATGTAGGTTTGCTCATGATGGTGCTACTGATGGCTTCAGTAGAAGAAAAACAAATGAGGTAAGTAGTGAAAGGGAACATGTCAAGAGGAACCGAGTTAGAACACCAGAACGTGATGGTGAGCGTGAAGCTCGTAGAACCAGTGATATTCCTTGCAAATACTTTGCTGCAGGAAATTGTCATAATGGAAAATATTGTAGGTTTTCTCATCTTGGTCAGTCACGTGCAAGCCCTGAAAGGTCACGTGGTGAGAGAGGTGTATGGGGTCCTAGCCCTGTTAGTTTGGATAAGTTGCACGATGGTGCAACGTTGAGAGATGCAAATGAAGCTGAGATACCCTGGACTGGTCCAAAATGGAGTGATCTTAATGCTTCAAATGATGTGAACAACTCATGGACTTGTTCAAAACAGAGTGATGCCAATGACGGGAACAACTCATGGACTGGTTCAAAATGGATTGATGCAGGTGCCTACATAGGGGCTACAAAGTTGAGCAAGGACACAGTTGAAAATCAGGGTGCCTCCAAACCAAGATACTCTAATTGGTCCATGGATGAGACATGGCAGCAAAACTATGATCTCGATGGAAAGAACATTGAGGGTAACATGCAGCATAAAACAGTTGGTATTTGCAAGGAAGAAGGATTTCCTAGGAAGATAGAACATGCTGGTGATAATATGGGTGTATCTGAACCAAAAGGTTCCAAGGAGTTGCTTGGTGATATGGAAATGTCCCCAGAGTGGAATTATAGGATCCAATCTTCTGTTAAAAAGGAACATTCTTATAGTTCAAAATCAACTCCTGTCGAAACACTTTTACCTACTCAAGAAAAGAATATAGCTAAAGAGGCCATGGGTCAGGTGCATGATGGTTTTGCAGCTTTGCAGCCAACATTAACTGAGAAATCTAGCATTCATCAGGACCACACGAGGGGCAGCTGTGCTGTAGCACTGCCATCTGTTAGCAGTGCCCGTAGCACGAATTCTAATTCAGACATTGATCTAAATTTGTCTACCAACGTATTGCCATTGCCAATCTTTGACCAGCCTGGGCCAAGTCCAAGTTCTGTGCCTTATTCAAACTTAAATGCTGTTGCAAATAGTCAATTGTTGATCCCTTCTAATGAAGTAAATATGAAAGGTACCCAACGTAGCCTGCTGTGTCAAGAGGAGAAAGCGAGGAACAAACTAGATGCTGGGGATGCAAATATATTACACGGTAATTCTGGATCTCAGACTATGGCAATCAATGAGCAGGTCACCCAACTTACCAATCTTTCAGCCTCTCTAGCCCAGTTATTTGGAAAGGGACAGCAACTTCCATTGCTTCAGGTTGCTCTTAATTCCCATGATGGAATGCAGGTAAATTCTTTTGTGAACTCTGGAGGTCATGTTGAGTCATATTCTGTGCCTACTGTACAGCCAGGTCAAAACATTATATTCTCAAAACAATACGACCCTATATCTGATGGCATTGAGCCTGCCAAGAAGCAGGGCACAGATGCTAAGCCTTTGGTGTTTACAGTACATCCTGGTGCAGAGAAAAAAACGGCAGATGGCCAAACTGAACTATCGGCTAGTAAGTTGTTATCATCATCTCTTTTGGGTAATAGCGGTGATGATTATCATAATGGTAACAGTTCCAAAAGAGAGCCTGATCTCGATAGCGATAAGCCAAACCAGCTGGAGCCTGTTGCAAGTTCTGAGGGGAAGAAGGAAAATGGAGGAGTTGAGGAAACCAAGAAAGCTGAAGGGGAAAATGGCCCATCAGAGAATATAGATGCTGATGACAGGACTGGTGAGGGAAAGAAAAACAAGGATGGTAAGGGAATCCGTGCTTTTAAATTTGCACTCGTTGAGTTTGTCAAGGATCTCCTCAAACCAACATGGAAGGAAGGTCACATTGGCAAAGAGGCTTACAAAAACATTGTGAAGAAAGTTGTTGACAAAGTGATTGCCACTTTTCAAGGGACGAACATTCCTCAAACACCTGAAAAAATTGATCAATATCTGTCGGTTTCAAAACCGAAGCTTGGCAAACTTGTACAGGTGAATGCAACTTCCTTTTAAATTGAAGGGTTTAGAGATGAGGTGAGGGGAAGAAAAAGAACATGAGACCTTCCCTTTGTTGTCTTTTCCCTTGTGCTTTGCATTCATATCTTGCTTTCATTTAAGCCATCATTTGCATGTTTTGTGTTATTAGTTATCACCTAATAACTTGTTAATAAACAGGGAACTTCAATGTGCATTTTGTCATTCAAGTTGCAACTCATTGAAATCCATGGTTCAAGTTGATAGAGAGATTCTTGCTATGATTTTATGATTTCTTAGACCGTTCCATTTCATGTGTAATTTGCTGGCCTTACAAAATTTTATCCTGTTGCAGGCATATGTGGAAAAGATTCAGAAAAAATGAAAGAAACCGGGGATCCTCATATCTTTTCGTGATATTATTCTTATGGTGACATATCGGAGCTATGGCAACATCCGTTTTTTGGCCTCCTGTCTAGTTTATGTACACACAAAGAATACTAACGTCGTCAATTTATATTTATGTTTAGTCCTAAGAAGTAGGTTTATAACTGCATGTAGATATTTTGTTGGAAGTTTAACATATGGTGCTAGCACCTGCTTTCCATCTGTATGAGTGACTGCTTTTGATGATTCAAAATCTAGTGCCTGAAACAGTTATTATAATTTACTCTACTCACCATCATGCTTGCTGAACAATGGTAGTTATGCTTCAGTACCCATATATGATTATTATATGGGTTCAAATAGGGGTGTTCATTTGGTTAAAACGGTGGCCGATCGAACCGAAATACTTTTAACTGAATTAATTGAACTTTATTTTTTCTTTAATCGTTAACCGAATCAAATTTTTTTTTTTTTGAAAGTATTAATCGAACCGAATAAATTTTGGTTAATTCAGTTAATTTTTGAATTAATCTAAATTTTGTAGAATTTTAGAATTTAATATTTTTAATTAAAAATAAATTAGAATTAATTTAAATAATATCTAATTAATTTGATTCAAACATTTTGTATTTAGTTTTGAGATTATTTTAATTAATTAATATTGATTTGAGTTTTAAATGGGTTTTAAATGGATTGGGTCAACTAAGTTTCTTAATATAATTATATTTAAAGGTTAATTTGATTAATTAATCGATTTCGAATCGAATTAATCGTTAACCAAATTCTAAAAAAACCTTAACCGTTCCCCGACCAAACTAATTCGATGGCCGACCGAATTAATCGAACTAATTCAATTCGGTTAGTAAATTCGGTTAAAACCGAATTTTGAACACCCCTAGGTTCAAATAATTAGGGTTGTAAACGAGCCAAACAAGAAACTTGGACTGGAATTTGATCAATGGCTTTTTAGCTTGGGCTCAACTAAGTTGTTTTGTAATTAGATGATGAATTTTCAAAATTATTTTAACAAAAAATGGAACATGGTAATTGTAGCAATAGTTACAAGAAAACAAAAGCATGTTTGAACTTTTGAGACTGAAGAACAAGACAATAAAGTTCAAATTTTAAAAATTGTAAATTGATGTTGAAATATACATTATAAACAAAAGGTTTGTTTTCTTTAACTAAACAAACTTTTAATACTTGAATTTTGTTTCATTGGTATCTTCAGCCACTCGTCTTTTTAAGTCAAATTTGATAATAATAACAAATAGAATTAGATTGATGACTAGCTTTTCTTAAAAATTTAAATAGTAATAAATAAACATCACACGTCACTATCTTACCTATATTTATAAATTACGATAAAAATTTAAACCGTAGAAGTTTTTTTTAACCTTTCATAAGCAATCACGTAACATTCAAAAGATTCTTCGTTTCGTCAGGGAGATGGTATATATATATATATATATATATATATACATACATACATATATATATATATATAGAGAGAGAGAGAGAGAGAGATTCATGGTTTTCTTGTTCGGTTGGATGAATGCATGCACAGAGATGCTAAAATGCAATTCCTGATAAACCAAATATTACATCCAATTATGAATACCATAAATGATACATGATCATGATAATATCAGGGATATATGATAACTAGTTCAACACCATGCAAACAAAAACAGTTGACAAAAAAGTACCATAATCATGACAATATCAGGGATCGATTGCCATCGGAGTAATTCGCCGCTTGGCTGGCTTATTTGATATGGGAGTATTCGCTAATATTGGTGATACCTGTTTCCCATCACTCTTTTCTGCACATTCCGACATTTTGTTATCTACTGCGACTGGATCATCAACTTCGACCACCATGTCACCAGGGTTCTGGACAATTGAGCTTGTATTCTCAATGTTCATGATTTTAGGTTCTAGAAAAAGAAAAAAAAAAAAAGACCAAATGAGTAGAAAATTGGTAGATGAACATCACAATATAAATGGAGACACAAGACTAAACCTGATAGAGAAATGGGTAGTCCCAGTTCGTCCTTCTCAAATTCTATCAATGTACAATAACCATCTTGAGAGGACAATGCCAAATAACTTGCGTCGTATGACCTTTCAGCATTAAATAAAACCAGACACTCAGAACTACAAATGATAGAATTTAATCAAAGAATTAGTCATTAACTATCTACTTGGGAAGTCATAATACTTACCAAGCAATGTCAGTTATGGCTGCATAGTGAAGGCCAGCCAAAATTGCTATTGGAGCCACACTCTCAGTATCATAAAGATACAATGAATTCAAAGTTGCAACAGCAAATACAAGGCGATAAGGAAGCTTGAACAAACCAGCTGCGAAGTCAGGATACAAAACTCAAGATTACCATTAAAATTCACGGTGAACTCCTGAAGAAATGAGCAGTACCAGTGAAAGATAGATACCTTGGTTTGTTCCCCTAAGTTGGAAAGCTAAAGGGCAGAATCGAACTGCAACAACTGGTTTGCTAGCACAAGGGAGCTGCAAAGAAGGTCTGCTACACAGAAATGATAAAAGCTAATGTAAATAAGATATCCTTTTTTATCAAAGCTAATGTAAATAGAACTTAGTCCAAGCAATTTAGATTCTGAAATTCATACAATATTGTCAGTATGGCTGTTTTGCATTAATAAGTGAAGATGTATATTCATTATATTTAAAAGAAAAATAGGAAACGTCTTTACCTAGAAAGGTCTTTTCTGGAAAAGACATAAGTGGAGTTTATTGTTTCAGATGAAGATGATATTTTATAAGAACCTGCAATGCAAGAAATGTCAAACAAAATGCAATGGTATCAATGGAAGCAAAGCAGCATGTACATGTTCTTTATAAAAGCATAAACGATGTGAGGAGCTACAGTTAAATTCTGTAAGTGAAAGTGGTTCAGAGCTATATCCATAAGTATGTAATTGAACTATACATGCATTTGAGTGAATACCTGCTGGCACCAGTAAAAATGATCCATCAGGTGACCAAGCTAATCGACGGAAGAATGATGGAAGTGTTTCGTCATGAAAAAGATGGTTTTTTACCGACTGCATCTCAAACCATGTATAAAGTTAGTTACAAGTAAAAAATATACCTTGAATACAGAAAACAATAAGAAAGTTGCAACCTTAGCATCATCTATTGGTTGCTGTTCTGCCTTTGTGATGGTATGTTGACAAATATAATTCAGCTTCTCAGCACCCTTTGTTTTTGTTTGAGGCTTACTAACATAAATTCGGCAAGTCCTATCTGAACTGAGAGAAGCAATATACTTGGACAAGGGATCCCAAGCAACACCTTGGACATAATGGAAATGTCCATCCAATATCTGATGGACAGAACCTGAAGATGATAAAAAGCTATAATCATAATGATTAAAAAATAATAATAAACAAAGCGTTTTTATCAGTATTCTGGATAATCTCGTTTATACCTTTGTTAACATCCCATACAATACAAGAATTGTCAACAGATCCAGAGATGAGAAATGCGCCATCAGTTGACCATTGCAAATCCAGAACATCTTTACGGTGAAATCTAGGCAAGAAGAAGCCCGGTCATAAGAACAGAACTCATAGCAACAATACCAGACTGTAAAAAGGTAACCTATACCGAAAATTTAATTTCAATATTAACTATCGAACAGGTGAAGGAAATGTCAAAGTCCTCTGGTTGAATCCAAATATAGCTGAACAAGGTTAGATTAGACTGCTGGTACCTACAGGCATTGTGATCACAGTTTTTACATATGTTTTAATGTTAATATGGGATGCATTTACCTGCAGTTCTCAGAATATAAATAAAGTTGATAGAATCATCACTGAACCACAACAATTTGTTAGTATTCAACCTCACACTTACTAATTGAAGGATCAAAATAATTATTTTAGCCAAGGAACTTTCAACCTAATCAAGTTTCACCCAAACTCGAAAATGAAAAACCAATTTGTAAGAAACAACAATTTTGTAGAAGCTGTATAATGCATTCAGATTAACGCCTTACAACAAACTTTTGAAAACTTTCCAACTTTGACCAGTTTCTGTAGTGTGCAATTTCCATATGATCAGTTCACCTCCTATCAAACAGAAAACTCATTTTCAGAATTTGCCGACGCTACCAAACTCTATTAACAAAAATAATTAGAACAGCACCATATTATATGAAGAAAATTTAAATGATATACCATCGGCACCAGAGGCAAGTTGTTCTCCTGCACAGCATAAAAAGGACAAGATTATCTCAGCCATCAAAGAGAATAGAAAACTTAGATTTGTGTACAAGTTAATTTTATCTTAGATAAACACAACTTCAAAAATGGGTCATAAATTTAAGAAACTATAAACTACATTTATTTCTTAAAATGTTACAAACGGAGTGTAGATACAAGAAGATATGCAAAATTGGAACAGCAATCAACTCAGGCTCAAGTGAATAGACATTGAAATTCTGAGCTTCAGGCAACTCGAGAGATTAATACTCAGTGTGCCATTACATGCCTTCACTGGGATCCTTATATACAATAAATTAAGCACTCAAAGAAGGGGTTTTCATGTATTACCCGAGGGAGAGAAGCGAAGGGCATTAACAGCGGAGCCATGGTAAGAGAGACTATTTTGATATGAAGCAGTGGGCAGTTTCTTCTGCACTTGGCCTGAATTGATTACCCATAGCTGAAAATTCAAAAAAAAACACACACACACAATAATCGAATCAGCCTGGCAGGACACTCAATTACCAAAATAGAATCGATATTAAACCTTGAAATCCCTTGCCTAAGACATGGTTTAACTCACCACTATGGTTTAACATAGTTCTTGATTGCATAAAAAAAAGCAACAGGAGAAATGCAAGGATGGATAAATTAAAAAGAAATCTTGGAGGAGAAGAAAGAACACCTTGATATCGAAATCAGCGCCGCCGGTGGCGAGAAGACCGGAGATGGGATGGAAGTCTAGGGTAAGGACGGGCTTAGTATCGTGCCAATTTATCTGAACCGTACCTCCTTTCATAACTTCTCTTTAAGCCTGTAAAAGAATTGAAAGAATATGATCTGGTTTTTTTAGGGTTAGGCTGAGAGAGTGGAGATGAGACGAGTTATGAAGGTGACTTGTTTTTAGCGCCACTTCCAATTTGGCGGGAAAATGTTATTCCCTTTTTTTCCCTTTTTTATCCAATATTATCTAAAAATAACAATAATTCTTTTAATCAATAAAATAATTTAATTCATACTATCACGATGATTATTGATTTGATTTATTAATCAATTAATTTATATAAAAAAGATAATCAAAGTTTTTATGACACAAAATTCAATTAATTTTCTCCTTTCGAATCGAACGTTAAAAAATATTTATTTTATTTTCTTTTTAATTTTCTCCCAACATAAAAGCCCTATAACTTTATGAATTTTTTTAAAAAAAACTAAAATGGTTATAAAGTAGTATCATCCTATTGTAATCACTTGTGCTCAAACATGTTACGTCTAGAAACAACAACGATTTCTTTAACCAATAACGTAAATTAGTTGGTACATGAATTTTCTATATATTTTAAAAAAATTATTTTTATAAATTTTGAAATATTTATGTCCTTTTAATGATATAATAAGTTTATTGTGTGTCATACCATCATATGTCATTATCTTATTAAATAGTTAACTATTTAACAATCAAACTTTTTGATCAAAATAAAATAAAAATGTCAAAACCCAAAATTTAATATAAAATGAATGGTTGAACCGAACTGATCTCATGAGAGATTGGGAAGCACAAATTTAGATTCCAAAGTAGAGCCGCATATGAACCTTGCATCGCCCTGTGCCACATGTAAGATAAAATAGAAGGAACAGCAAAGTTTGCCAATAGGGGTGAGGCAATCTCAACCTTATCCACACTCCAACCACAATCTTTTATCCAATTCTTCATCTCATCTTCACTCCTTATCCCCACGATTCTATTATACTACAACAACAAACCCAATTCACCTCCAAAAACTCTTACTTCTTTTCTGACAGAAATGGCAGCCATGAACTCCAGTGTTTTGGCATGCAACTATGCTGTCTCTGCTGCCACTGGATCATCCGAGCTTGACACCAAGCTCCCTTCACTTGTGTCTACTGGTCACAACAAGTTTCCTGTGATCAGAGCACAGCAGCCTAAAGTTTCTTATTCCAATGAATCAAGAGCCAGTGAAGGAAGGAGAGCAGCTGTGCTCTGTTTGGCCGCTACCCTTTTCTCCTCAGCTGTTTCTTCTTCAGCAAATGCTGGAGTCATTGATGATTACCTTGAAAAGAGCAAAGCTAACAAGGTCTGGTTTTTTTTTCAATGAAAACTACTGCTGGGGAGACTTTTGTAGCTTCAGAATAATAGATTTAACCTGATTTGCTTCAGGAATTGAATGACAAGAAGAGGTTGGCCACCAGTGGAGCAAACTTTGCCAGAGCATTCACTGTTCAATTTGGCACTTGCAAGTTCCCTGAGAACTTCACTGGCTGCCAGGATCTTGCAAAGCAAAAGGTTCTAATCCTAACACCTGCATCTGCATCTGCATCTTTTTCCTAGTTGATGATATCCTTGTTGGTTTTTTTTTTATTGCAGAAAGTACCATTCATCTCTGATGATTTGGCCTTAGAGTGTGAAGGGAAAGACAAATACAAGTGTGGTTCCAATGTTTTCTGGAAATGGTGATTAGATCCGAATGTACTTTTCACTTTCAACATATGCATCTAATTTCCCCATTTTAGTAGACTTTCTTATCCATTTGTTTTACTAGTTTTCACGGACTTTAGCTACATGCTTATTTCATTTTAGCACCTCCTACAAATTTTCCCAGCAGTTGCAACTTGCATCTTCAGAAAATCAACTCAACAAACAATATATAGGAACAAAGAATGAGATGATTAATTATAACAACAACAACAACAACAACAATAATAATAATAATAATAATATAACTTTACACCAGTGAAATAAATTATGTCTATGATGACTCAGCTGGTTGAATGAACCCTGAGCATGCCATTCATCTTCAGAGTATCAAAAATCAAAAGTTAAAACCGCATTCTAAGGTCCATTCGACTACGAGACTAACCACCCAAGCAAGCTAACTGCTAGACAAATCGTATATTTAGACAAAATTGCAGGAGGCTAACTCAGCCAGTAGCGTTTCTAGCCTGCAATCTTTTCAGATCCCAACTTCATATCTCCCCCACATGGAGAATAGAGGAAGAATCACATGAGCAAGTGAAGTCCGTGCTAATCAAGTTAGTGAATGATTCTCCTTAAAAGTCAGAATTTGTGCAAAGCATCCACAACTGAAAACTGAAATGCATTCGGGAAGTGACCACAAACTTGAGCCTAAAGGCAACATGCCGAGGAGCCATTGTTCTGCAGCTGGGGACATGGCAATGGAAACACAGCATTGGTACAACCTGAAACAAACTCACAATGCCATGCCGCAGTTGGGGCAAGTCCGAGTACTGTAACATTCTTAAAGCACACACCTTCAAATGATGCACCCTTGAGACCAGTGAGTTCGGGAGCTTTTGTTGAATTCAAACTAATGATGTTACTAATAAATACCCCCTTTATTTTAGGAAATGCTTTAGGGTCCCATCCATCATCAGGGTGATCATTGGAGTCCGTACTGAACCTAATGGGTACTTTGACTCGCTCCATCGTTATATTATTTATGGAGATATTCGTAATATATCCCCCTCTACCCTTGTCGGTTTTTATACGAATACCAGCTGCTGAATTCCAAACATTCATATCTTCAATAGTTACATTAGAAATCCCTCCTGACATCTCACTGCCAATGCCAACACCGGAACAAGTTGGTGTAGTGCCGGAGATTCTCCTCACTATTATGTTTGAGCTCGGTCGTGCGATTCTGATGCCATACTGGTCCCATCCACTTTTTACTGCTACAAGATCATCACCACTCTCGATAAAGCAGTCCTCGATACATACATTGATACATGAGTCTGCACAAGCTTTAATGAGAATGTCGGGAAAAAAATGTCTCTGCCATGGGGTTTAGGTTGTTATATGCGAGACGCAACATAGAATAAATTGCATAAGAAGATAGAGAATGACAGTAACATACCAGCGTCTATTCCATCTGTGTTTGGTGCATTGAGGGGAGCCAATATTGTCATTCCCTTAATAACAACATTGCTGCAGGAAAAGAGTCGAAAAACAGACTTTTACTTCCTATTACCTAAATAAAACTAAGCAACCATGCACAAAACAGTATAAGAAACACAGAATAAATGGAAAGACTATATGGTAGAGAGGTCAAACCTGGTGTAAACAGGATGAATGGTCCAAAATGGCGAATTCATGAAGGTTAGGTTAGAGATAAGAATGTTACGAGAGTTCATTATCTCAACAAGGTGGCCTCTTGTGTGGTTTAGCGTTTTGTTCCACCATAAATCCCACCACATCCTACCTTGACCATCAATTGTCCCATTCTGCCCTACAAAATTACAACTACTCATCACACATACTTGATAAATTTTCAGAGACAGGTTTCACTGTAAAAGTTGCTTTAGTAATGGTTAATTTTCGAATCAAGCTAAAGGATGATGGCAGCCAGCTTCTCTGTTGGAAGTAAAGATATCAAGCTGTTAGTCTGCTTTTAAATAAATCCAACTACTAGTTTAATACGGTAGAAATAGCATATAACAGTGCCATTTAAATGCTTTCTAAGATAATGCCTAGCAACCTAGCGTACATGTGAAAGCATTCACTTCCTTCTCATTTACAATTAGGGCTGAGTATTCGATTGAATCGAGTAAATTTGATTTTTTTTGAATTATTCAAAATGACAAGTTGTGTTTTATAACTCGAACTTAAAAAAATTTCGAGTTGAGTCAAGTCGAGTTTTTGAGTTTCAATACAAATTTAATTGTAATTATTTATAGTACTATGGTACATATTAGTTACAATTTATCAACTTTCTATATATATATATATATATATTTCTACTCTTTTCATATTATAGCATTATTTAATAAATTAAATAATATCTAAAATATAAAAAAATATTTATAATATTATATTTCAAATGAGGTATTTTAAAGGTAAAGTATTGACGGAAGTATAAAGGAGTCAAGAAATTATGAGAAGAAAGAATTTGCAGACAATTGTAGTTAAAAGACCAAATTGAGAAAAAATGCAAAGTTAATGGACTGAATTGAAAAAAAGAGAGAGAGAATACATTTTTAGTAAAAATATGAATTGAAGTTACATGAGAATTCAATAGGGGTGGGGGAGCATGTGATTCAAATATAATCAAAAACAGACTTGAATTGAAGGATTGTATTATAGTTTAGGAGCATGTACTTCAAATTTGATAAAAAAATGTATTTTAAATGAAGAAAAAATGAAAGGAATAAGAAAATCATGGACTAAATCGTAAAACTTTTAAAATATTTACCCAAATTTTTTTATTTTTCGAGTGACTCAAAATTTTTAAATCTCAATTCGACTCGAACTCAAAATTTAATTCAATAATTAGAATTAACTCAAATAATTCAAAATTAAAAAAAATAAAAATTTCAGCCAAATCAAATTTTGCTCATGCCCATTTACAATTCCCTAGTCATAGCTCAATCTAATTTGAGAAGAACATAATGTAAATCCACGCAGACAGCCATCATCAGTGATTAATTTAGGAGGCAGTGGACAATCATTAGTTTCTTTATATTTTCACTGATAATTTAATTTTTTTTTTAATTTCATAAGTTCACCTCTTTAAAATATTATGGGTAAACTATACAGGTGATTGTTAAACTATGGTAAAAAAACATTTTGACCACCGACGTTTTAATTTGATCAAACAGACCATTCAACTATTTTTATTATTTTATTAACTTAAAAGATATATTTTATTATTATCTTAAGTTAATAATATGAAATCAAATACATTAAGTACACAAAATATATATCATATGATCTAAAACTTACAGTCTAATACCCTTGGCTTAGTGGTCGCTAGGTCACATGTAAAACCAGGTGCCCCTAGTTTGAACCCTTACACGTCGGATTGGAGGAAATTAAATTTAATGAATTAAATAAATTATAAATAAATATAATCATCCAATTATAGACCAACACATGTCACAATTTAATTGCACAAATAAATTTATTGAATTTAATTAAATTTAGGATTAAAATTCATTTTGTGTAACTATCAAAAACTAAATATGTAATTATATCAAAAATATTTAACTAACACGTCACTATTTCTGTTAAATTTTAACGACGAATAGTTTCATTGAATGACTTAAATAGTTAGACGATCTATTTGAACAAATTAGAACGTTAATAGTCAAAATAATTCTCGACGGTAATTTAGTTTAACTACCTGTAATGATAACGTTGGTAAGGCCATCTCCATGAATAAGGCTTGTATGTCTGGCTCCCGGTCTCTCCCTCCCTCTCCCATAAGATGGCAATGGCTCCACAAGAGGCCATTCCTTTGGATCCTATTGTTCATAAACACACGACATTCAAAACCAGCAGCCTTCAAGCTCAAAATTCTCATTGTTATCTTCAAATCAACAGAATTAATATATCCATATTTGCTGACCTGAGAGCCTAAAATAACAGCACCCTCTTCAAGAAACAGCGTGAAATTACTGGTAAGATTAAAGCTCCCCGTTAACCACTTCCCTCTGGGCACGTTTAGCTGAGACCCGCCGTGGTCCACAAAACGTTGCATGTGGATCAACGCCTTCCAAAACGCTGCCGTATTCGAGGTTTTCCCATCGCCCACTCCCCCGAATTCCTCTATCGACGCAACGTGCCTCCTCACCGGCAACTCCCCGAGCAACCCGGCACAGCTTCCCGGGTCGGAGACGGTCGCGGCTTTCTCGGATTCGGAAACCCCAAAGATTTGAAAAGGAACGATGGATTGTGTGGCGATTTGAACAGAGAGAATGGCTAAGGCCGTAAAGAGAAGAAAAAGGAAAACCCAATACGGTTTTTTGAAGAGAGCCATTATCGAACCAGAATGTGCCTTCTGGGGCTCCATTTTTGTTGAACAAGATTGAATCTTTAATGCTGTAATCGAAAAGGATTCAAAAACTCAAATGGTTATTTCATCATCTTAATTACGTTACGATTTACTGCATACGTTAGCAAAGAAGAAAGCCGAGGAAGAAGACGCTAAAATGCTCCTGTCGCCATTGCCCGTATGCCATCGGTGCGCCTTAAAATATGAATCAACTCTGGTTTAATTCTCTATTTAATCCTTTTACTGTATACGAATTAGGAAGTTTCTCCCTCTATTTTATTTCCTAAGAATTTGATACTCGTCTTTACAAAAGCTGTCAAGTTAGTCCAACGTGATTGAAATTTAGGATAAAGTGCATTAGATGTAACTAAATCATATCCAAATGATCATTTTGGTCATAAACTTTTAGAATTTATAAAATGATTATTAAATTTATCAAATTGTTATAAATGATCATTATATAACAGTTCGATAAAATTCAATATTTATTTCATAATAGTTTGATAAAATTAATAATTATTTTATAACTTTTAAAAATTTAATGATAAACAATTATTTGAACATAGCTTAATATATCTAATATAATTTATATTAAAATTTATCACAAATCACTAACAACAAAAAACTGTTGTTCGGCAAGTTATACGCAAGAACTTAGTTAAAATGTCATTCAACAATATATATATTTACAATAAATTAGAATAAGAAAAAATAAAACCGCAATTTAAATTCATGTTTTCACTAACAATTAAATTAAATTCTAATTTTCCCTAAATTATGAGGATACAATTTCAATAAATTAAAGTAGAAAGATTAATTTATAAATTTTCATAAAAAGAAGGGATGGGATTCAAAGTTAGAACCTAAAACTTTGCAAATATAGACATGTACTTTTAGATCAGGTTGATTCGGTAAAGGAGTTCCTAAAAAAAACAAGATGAAACAGTTTGATATGTTGAGCCAATAGATAGATACCACGTGTAGTATATATATCTAAGTTTGAATGTTATTCTTGGAGTCTCGTGTCCGTTAAAGAAGGTATATCGCGTCTTTCCCGATTTCAGCGTTTTTACCCGAACAATCAATAATTACTTTTTATGTATCATTTCTTCAAATATTATTGATCTAGTATCTATTCTGACAGAGTGATAATAAAACGCGTTTCAAGGTACACGTATTGCAGACGTGAACGGAAGGTGCGGATCATGAAGCACGCCTTCTTGGGGTTCTGTCTGAGCTGGCGTCACGATGAAAAAGCGCGGATTGTAGTTCGCACCTTCACGGGGTTTTCTGACACGTTAGGGAGGAGCGGATCATAAAGCGCGCATTCGATTATTCCCCCTCAATTATTGATCGTTCTACTATTACCGAAGTTGCCTTAAATCTCGGACGATCCTTGTTTATCACCCAAGATTAGTTGAAGATCTAAAAAAAGGATTGTTGCATCAAATGAAATATTTGTAACGAATTTCTCTCGAACCCACGAATTTCGTTAAGAGTTAAACTACAAGACAGGTGGTGTGACTGTGGGTTTTTTTCATGCTCTGAAGTATCCATGCTCGCATGTCATAGCAGCTTGCTCTTATACCCATCAAGACTATATTGTATATCGACTTACAACCATATTCAAAGTATATGAATTTGAGTTCCCCCGATAGGTAATGAGAAAGACCCATATAAAGTTCAGAATTGGCTTCCGATTGTACCATATTTGTCCTTATATAGGGAGGCAGGTCGTCAAAAATCCACTCGAATTCATTGTAATATTGATATTCGAGAGACGTCTAGAGAAAACAAAAGATGTGGACATTGTAGAAACCTAGGCCACAATAGGAAAAAATGTTTATATTTTTTATCATCACGTAATCATTGAGCATCAGAATGTAATTGTAGTTTCTGAAATCTTAGTTTATGTTATTTCATTTTCGTTTACTTTCAATTAATATCATTTGAACATCAACAAGTAATGGGTTACTCAAGTGAAAATTAAATAAAAACATTACAAACTAAATAGTAAAAACAATTAAAACAATTAAATAAAAACAATAAATACAAACATTACAATTCAAACAATTAAATAATAACAACATTAAGAAATAAAATAAATAAGAAGTCCATAATTCAATACATTTGCTGATAAACAAAGAAAATTAGATAAAAACATTACAAACTAAACAAGTTTATCGATGTCTTAATCTTGAATGTGTTCCATAGGGCTTCGGCTGTCTATTTCAATGAGAGTTTCTTCGTATAACTTGCTCTTCCTCCTCACTCTCATCATCATCATCATCATCAGTAGCAGCTACATTTTGTTGATGAGGGACGAATGACGATAAAGCACCTCCATAGAATAAGGACTCTGGAGGTATATGACTAACCATACCACCGCTCATAGAAAACTGTAAAAACTATAAAAACATCGAACATCGATGAATGTGATCCATACTGAGCCGGAGGTGTATGTGTTTGTGTTGAATCACCACTTGCCAAATAAGCAGCATATGAAGCCCACGTCAGATCTAGAAGCATGACAGTATAATATCCGCCATGAGGTGTCATAAAACCATATGGTTGTGGCATCTGAATCGGTTGCAGTAGCGTCTGAACATGCTGCAGTGGCATCTAAAATGACTGTGGTGCCATCTGAAATGGCTGCGGTGTACCCATGTATAGTGGCAGGTTGGGAATGTAAACTGGTGTAGACGGTGGCTGTTGTGATGGTTCCGGTGTTGCATCTGAGGACGAGCCGGAAACGCCTGTTCTCCGTCCACGAGTCGGGAGATGATAATGTTGTGACGGTGGATGCTTTTCTTGACGCCGATGAATACTCCCACCTCGTGTTTCCTTAAAAAGTAGGAATGGTTTCCCGTTCGTGTTGAACCACTGATAATAGTCACCCGCAACCGAATAATGATCCACATAAATCGGCTCCCTAAGGGCAATACGTCTACGTCGATCCTCCGGGATCATTATCCACTCCCTATGCTTCAACAACATGTTGGCATCCTTTTTTCCTCTTCTATCGACGTTATGCATATTGTCAAGATTCTTAGGTGCTTCATAAATGTGTTGTACGAAACCAAATTGGCGGAGCACATGATCAATAGGATGCCACTCGACAATAGCATAACATATCAGAGGGACCACCAAGGTTTCAAATAGCGGTTTGCGACTGCAATAGCCCCCGCGAAATAGCGGTAGCGCTGCCTTCCGATATACCCGCTACACCCGCAATAGCGCCCTCTATGCCCACAATCACGGTAAACACAAAATGACCGAAAACGCGATCACGATATCGATTTGAAACCCTGGGGACCACCACCATCCATACATCTAATGAGTCACTCAAGTGATGTAGGATGCAAAGCCTCATTTCCTAAGTAGATTAAGTAGCCCATTCAAACTAAAGCAAATATATATAATTCTTACCAAAATAATATTCTAATTATATAACGATAATTAAAGGTAAATAATAAAATTTAAATACATATCTCTGTACAAGCATTCTAATCAGCCGAATTTCTTCCAATTAATCTAGTATATCACGATGATTTTTCCTTGTATATGACCACCTATTCAATGTAAAAAAAATATTATTTATATACGAACTCAGTATTGAAATTACCTCAGCAATAAGGGGTTATTCACGACCGGACATAAAAAAGACATGCGATACCACGTCTATGATTGGAGAAGAAGGAGACATCCGTCGATAGTATTTTTTATAATCAGTTGTCCGACACATTTCTCTATACAGAGATGCCAAAATTAGGGTGTCCCAACTGAATACGCCGACAACGTGAAAATCTTCTAGGTGACGCAACCACATACAATGAACTTGGTTGCGAGATGTATTGGACATCAAGATCCCTCATATGAGTTGTAATATGCAAGATCGGGCAAATATTTTAGCTTGTTCCTCGGAACAGTCTTCACTTAAATGTTGAAAATTTGTAACCAACCATGATAACGGTATTCGACCATAGTTGAAATTAGGCGGGATATCTCCAAGATATTCCTCGCACAAGGAATGCCAATTACCATCCACCACACCATAAATAACATCTCCATCTACTGGAATCCCCAAATATACGTAAACATCCTATAGCGTAATAGTGCACTTCCCACATGGAAGATAAAATATGTGTTTTTGGTCTCCACCTCTCAATCAGTGCAGAAATAAGGTTGGATTCAAGGTTATAGTGCCCTTCATATTTCGCTATGTAACTGAATCCAACCTTGGCTCGGTCAGACACGACTCGGTATATCTAACTTAGCGTTACGAATAAATGGATCTAATATATGGTCATTCCCCTAATTAAATAAATAATATAAAAAATAAAATATAAAATAATACTAAAATAAATAAATAAAACATTCACAATAATTAAAATAACACAATTTATAATTGTTACCTTATAGACAAAATGACTCGAGATATGATTATCATCTAAATACATCAACCTGACTTCCATTTTATAACAACAAAAAGTAATAAGAAATTAGTTAATTAAATAATAATTAAATAATAAACTATTAAATGATTATATTATAATAAAAAAATTATAGCTTCTAAAAACGATAGCAAAACTTACTTTAAGCTTGCTACAAGAATTGATAAGGAAGAGAATAATTTTTTTTGGTGTGGTTTGAGTGTTGTATGGGAGGAAATTTATAGGAGGGGAGGGGGAGGGAGGGCGGTTGGGCGGTATTAAAGGGGTAGGTGGTAATTTAAATGAAGGCACGGATTACAATTTGCGCTTTTCCACTGTGGGACCGGCTCGGACAGAACTCCATAAAGGCACGTTTCATGATTCGCACCTTCCGTCCACATCTGCAAGGCGCGTATCCTGAAACATGTTTTATTATCACTCTGTAAAAAATAATACTAGATTAGTAATATTTAGAGAAATGATGTCTGACAGGTAATTATTGATTGTTTGGGTGATTTTTGCGTAAAATGGCCACGGAATTCTTCCTTTTTTATAAAAGAAGTAAGGAAAATTACATTATTAATCACTAAATTATTATTATTTTATTTTAATCATTAATCATTAAAAATAATCACAATATTGATGTAATTTTTTTAAATTTTCTACTCACCCATAATGGCGACTCATTAGTGAAGAAAAAAAATAAAGAAAATATGATGTTAATCATTGAATTAAGTTAGATAATTATTATATTTCTTTTAAAATTAATATCTAAGTTACTATTCGGATGTTACAAATGGGGTTTGGTGTCCAATAGGCAAACATGCATAAATGTGCTAATGATTTAGTTAAAATTTATTGTGAATAAGAAATAAAATAATATTTGTTGTGAGAACATGAATAAGTACATATATATTAATAAATTGGGATTAAGATGTAATTATTCAAATTTACAAAATGTGTAGGAAGTTAGCGAGATGAGATTTGAGTGATGGAGAGGGTGGCAACGGAGGCGGAGGAGGCGGTGGAAGTGGATGCTTCTACTCCCACAGTTGAATCAATGATGGTAGGCCTTGTGAGTGGTCTGCTTTCCAATGACCCTTTGCTCTTCAGTAACACAACTACCTCGGACATGCTTGGCCTCAACGCCGCCGCTGATTGTGTGCACATCAATCCTATTTCCACCATTCTTTTCGCTTCCTCTACCTCGTATTCTTTCCCATCCAAGCTTTCCTCCACTAACTGGTGGTGCATGTTATTCTCGTACAATGTCCATGCCTGCATCATTTCATAACTCGTTAGGAAGACGAGATTTAACGGTTTGATATAAAATAATGAATTTACCTTTTTGAGGAGGAAGGAATCAGGATCGCCCGTGGTCTCATGGCTTCTTTGTCCACTTACAATTTCAAGCACCACAATCCCATAGCTATACACATCAGTCTTCTCTGATAGTTGTCCATGGATTGCATACTCCGGCGCTGTGTATCCCCTTTTCCAAAACAACAAAGAGAAACGTAGACTTTTATGTCCCGAGAGCAGCAAGAAATAGCATTTAATCAATGAAATAAACTTACAAGGTCCCAGCAAATTTGGTGCTCAGATGGCTCTTGTCCTGAGGCAGAAGCCTCGCTAGCCCGAAATCAGCTATTTTAGGCTGGAAATCATCGTCCAAAAGGATGTTACTCGACTTTATATCTCGATGAATGATGCATACATGAAACTCCTCGTGCAGATACGAGAGGCCTCTCGCGGTGCCCAGAATTATGTCACATCTTTGTTTCCAGTTCAGAGAACCTCGTCCTTCACCTGTTGAGTCACATCCATAATTAGCATCGGCATCGATACGTAGAACGAAAGCTCGAACAAGAAGAAGAGTTACCGAATAAGAATTTGTCGAGGCTGCTGTTTTTCATGTATTCGTAGACGAGGAGAAGTTCGGGTCCTTTGTTACAACATCCAAGAAGACGGATAAGGTTCCTATGATGAACGTTACTTATTAGCTTCACCTCACTTTCGTAGTCTAACTTTGCTCTCTGTGATTGCATTATGGCCAGCTTCTTAATGGCAACTGTTTTCCCGTTCTTTAACACACCCTGCTCCCAATACAACACCAAAATTAGTGCACCCTTTAGTAGGTCTTAGAATAAATAAATTTTATTATGCCAACGCTAAGGATTTTACAAAGGTACTCGAGCATAGAATCCTAGTTTATATATATATATATATATATATATATATATACATTGTTGTACATGCACAAAAATCTCATCAAATGGATCGATCCCGAATTTTTCAAACTGAATCATAATGAAATTTGAATCATAAACTCTAACAAAATCAAATTAATAAAATTATTGAACTGTTTAGGTATATATAATTTACCTTGAATACTTCACCAAAACCACCTTCTCCTAATTTATTTTGGAGGCTAAACTTTTTAGTAGCAGCACTCAAATCTTTGTATTTGTAATTTATGGGGCCTCGTAACTCCGTTGCTCCTAAGATGTCACCTGCTACGTATCAATGCAAAATTGTTTAAATTTAAGTTTCTTTGTGCCCAACTATATGCTAATGTATAGATATTCATTTTATATACAGTATGAGTGGTAAAAAGAAAAGAAAATGGGAAATAGGAGATGGCAATTAGGATTACCTCTGATTGGTAGGTCGTTTGAGGCTGCCGATCGTTTAAACCAGACAAGCAATGTTATTAGAAGCAAAAGAAGTGCAACACCTCCCACCAACCCTCCTATAATGCCATTCCTTGTGCTTGAACTACCTGCAGTGTTGTTAATTGGTGGTCACTTGATGGATAGATCTATATGAGTGTGAAATGATGAGGATATAAAGATGAAGAGGGGTTACTTGGAGTTGTCAAGAAGGGTGTGATGTCGATGGTCTGGTTGTCGGCAAAGAAAGGAGAGTCGGAGTACCTCAGGAAACACCCTACATCCATAGCTCTACCATCGGTATTAGGAGGGCATCGCTGAATGTCGGTATTCGCCACTTGCATGCAGTCTCGGCACCCACTTTCAGCAATGGTTTCGATACACTGTGCCACGCCGTACACGGTTGCGTTTCCACCGCCGACCACTTCCTTCTCAGTTGCTGCAAAGTAACCACTAATCTTTGGTGTGGCCACTTGAAGATCTGCCAGCAAGTCCTGCACGGTTGCTGCGAATGCACTAGGCTCCGATGCCGACTTATTCCCGCAGATCATGGTGTGCCCTTCCTGAGTGTATTGGTCATAGAAGTTGTTGCTCTCATACCTAATCTCAACACATTCACCCAACCAAAATCAAAACATAATAGTCATAGTATTTTTGTATTGATAATCGTATATGATCCTTCGATTTAAAATCACCATGGTTCTGATATTGATAATCATAAACAAATAATGAAAAAGTAAGAAAAAATTGAAGAAAAAAAGACAAATTGTTGCAGTCACATGGTGTCACATATGGGCCAGTGCCACTCACTACAAATGAAGAAGTTAGCAAGATTATCAATCAAGACTAATTTATATTGCAGGCTATAGTTTGAGGACATTATTTGCAATTAACCCTTTGCTAAGATCATAAACATGGGGAGCACATCAAAGGAAACAAAACAACCGTACCGAAGGAAACAGCCATCGTAGATGACACGAGCACCGTTGGCAGCAGAGCAGCGACGGATTTCGGCCACGGCGGCATCGAAGCAAGCCAAGCAGTCGACTCGGGAGAGGTAGTTCCTGCACTGCACCATGGCATACACCCCGCTCGCTTCTTCCGCCGTAGCGAAATGTCGGCTGTCGTCGTTGAGCTGCTCCCTGAGCCGGAGAAAGGTGGAGTTGAGGTCCCCGGTGAAGTCTCTGAAGTTGGTGACGTTGTATTGGCTGCATCCTGAGTTCAGCAGATTCAGCTCTGCGTCTGCAGCTGATCCCCACCACAAAAGTACGATCGTCAGCACACAAGTTATGCACTCTGGTTTCGCTTGCATTTTGCTTTTGCAATTTTGCGGACTTGGTCTTCAACAAATATGGTTTTATATGGATGGAATTTAAAACGGTCCAATTACAATTATAGTCCTTTTACTATGCTCAATCTTTTATTTAATCCTTTAACTTTCATTTGATATAATTCCTTCTTTTTACCTTTATAACATTGTAGACACCAGTTTAATCCGAATTTTTTTTTATCATTTTTATTTTTTATTATAATCAGTAAATATTAAATATTAATATTATTTCCTTATTTTTGCAGACCATTACAACAAGCCCAAATTAAGTCCGATTATAAAGAAACCAATCGACCCTAACATTACAGCAGACCCAAACCCTAGCCCATCAAAATTCAAAACAATTAGGGTTTGAACCCCCTAGGATTTCAATTAGTTACCGTCGTTGCTCATACCAAGAGTCACTCTCGCCGTCACTGCTTTCGTCGTTTGCTTTGGTCACGTCGATCACAACCAACAAAAATCAAGCATGAATAGTGGAAAATATTAATCACCATTTACCAAACCAAATCTAGAAAACCCATTAAAAAAAAAGGGATTGAATCCCAAAAATCTAGGATGATTAATGCTTGGGTTGGAACAATCATCGCCCTCTCTACACGTAAAAAAAGAACTTTATATGTATAAATAGTATGTATGCTTTTAATGTATCATGTATTCTTTTATTAGGTAATTTAATATATATATATATATATGTTTTGTAATAATTGGAACATGAGAGCTTGCCTTTTGAATATATATATATATATATATATATATATATATATATATATTATTGCATGGATCATTTTTGTATTTATTAAACTTTCCTATTTTACTCTATTCATGTTTTCCATATATATATATATATATATATATGTGCCGTGTGATTTATTTACTTTACTTTTCCTATTAAATTATTAATTTACAAAACATATATGATGTATTTGGAATTTGTTTTGTATATAAGTGTCATTTTTAAATGTATTTATGTGTATTTCGTGTGGAGCCCACCTTTGTGCCTTAAATATACATATATTTGCCTTTCACCTGTGACCTATAGTCTTTGTTTCCATGTCAACTCTTTATTTCCTTGTTAATTTATGTGCTAATTTTTTTATTAATGTCTAAATGTATGTAAATATATTTTATTTGTACATATAAGTTTAGGTTTTAATTTTAATTAATATGTATGATACCTTCCTCGTAAGTTTTACTTGGATTCAAATCAGATAATGAGATAAAAGGTAATATCTTTTTATTTTCAGTTCATTGTAAGTGATTGTCTTAACGAATAAGATGTCACTTCCATTGACTTAAAAAAAGGTATCTTAGCAAGTGAAACAAATAAAAATTTGTTTATTTAAAATTTAGGGTTGGGAAAAATAATGTGTTCTTTTAATTAAATTCACCGAGAAAAGAATGTTATATTGAATCTAAGATCTAGTCTCGATGTCTTTAAATTATTGAATATCCTTATTCTCATTAAAGGTTGGTAAAATAATTAATTAATTGTATTTGTTTGATGTGTATTTTTTAATTTTCATCTTATATTGTATGCTTTTAAAAGGGATCTCAAAATAAATTATATTCAAACATATAAGTTTTATTGCAAGAAAAACTAATTAATTAATATGATATCGATTTAGGGTGTTGTGCGAGTGCTAATCCTTCTCCACGCGTAATTGACTCCCAAACTCGAATTTTTTGGTAACACAAATCGTAAAATTTTTGTTTTAATTATTTTATTAAAATGACAAATATATTTTTGGATGCCCAATCACACCCTAATCAAATATTGGTGACGTCTCTACGAACCGATTTTATTGTTTGTTTTAAACTCGAGTACCAAATTATTAGAGGCGAATATTTTTACAAAATCCCGATTTTTTAATCGACACCTAAATTTTAAAAGGAACGCCTCGATAAACATCATTAGCTCATGGATTGCTGTCGTTGAAGTACTGAACTGGATTTTCATTTAAAAAAAAAACAATCCTAAGCATTCAACTTACATGTATGATTGAACTTTTAAGAAATTACGATTGTTTAATTGAATAATCCGAAGTACATGTAATTTTTCAAAAAAATTATTGTGATCTTTTTATCTTAGAAAATAAGTTTAATGTGATCTTTTGATCAACGTTTTCGTTATTAACTGTTAACATAATAGTTCCCAGTGCTAATATAGTGGTCCACGGTGGTTGATAAATTGACGGATAACATGACATATAGGCTAAATTGGTAACTCAAATATAACAGATAAACAATCACGTCAGCACCATAAAAATCAAACGACGAAAAAAATTGGTCAAAGGAGCCACATTGAATTTATTTTATGAGCTAAAGAGTCGCAATCAAAGAAAAAATAATACGATTTAAATTCAAGAACCTTTTTTTCCTAATAGAGAATTCCAAGTTAAACTCATTTAGAAAATGGGGTCCTTAGAAAATGGGGTCGTTTGAAAGGTTGAAGCTTGACTGTGTGGAAATGAATAGTGATTTTTTTTATAATAATAATTTTCATATTTTTTTAAAAAAAAATTATTATTTGAAGAATGTATAGATTGAGTAGGAAAGAAACTTAACCAATTGCAATTGGTTACATTTGGTAGCTTAACCATTTGGTTATTTATTGCATGGCGGCTAGGGCTGTAAATGAGACGAGACAGATTGCGAGCTATTCGAGATCGAAACGATCAAGGCTCAATAAATACTCGGATCGAATGGACTCGAGCTCGAGCTCGACTCGAGTTCTTAACGAGCTGAAACGAGCTACTCGATATTCGACTCGAAAAGCTTGTGAACAGCTCGAAAATATAATATATTAAGATTTTATTTTAAAAAATAAATTAATAATAATATTAATATTTATATATTGATTTTTTTTAAAATACAGTAAGATTTCATATATTTAAGATTTATGTTCGAGTTTGAGGCTTCAATCGAGTTAAGTTTAAGAATTTTTTTTTCATTTCGAGCCTTTTCGAGCTGCTCACGAGCTTCAATTCAGGATTTCGAGTTCGAGTCGAGCTTGAAAATTTTAAGCTCGCGATTTTTCGAGTCGAGTTGAGCTTAGCAATACTCGAACTCGACTCGGCTCGTTTACACCCTTAATGGCGGCTTTCAATAATTAAAATTCTACTTTAATAGAATTGCATAAACTGTTATAAATCCAATAACATTTTTGTATAATGATAATCCAATATTTGGGTAATTATATGGAATTTTATCACAATAACAATATCTCCAGTCAAAATACATTTTTTTCATTTCGATTCAACACCTTAGGTCTAAATCTGACCACTATTTTCGGTGAAGATTAAAAGTGAAGATACTGAAATATTTTAGTTGAGATTCACAGATTTCGGGACATTTTCGGTGAAACAACCATCATATTCGGACTCTGGGGTCGAGACGAACCGACCAATGAATTTTGAGATCGAACGGCCACCATCAACGACGATAGACGGTGATCGGCATGAGAAATGACATTGTGGTCGGCGACAGCAACGGGTCACCTGATTTGCAAAGTAGAGAGAAAATGGAGGAAAAGAAGAGGACTCGAAACAACGTCGTTTTAGTGTATATTTGAGTTTTTTAAAAAATCGTCATTTTGATGCTTATGACATAACATCTTTAGAGAGATAACGATAGAGAGAGTAAAAATAATTCAATATGTAAAACTTAGTGAATAAATTAAAAAAATCGAAAGTATAATGAGTAAAATAGAATAGAGAGTAAAGTTTAGTAAACTGTGTAATTTACCTTACAATTAATTAAACTTATTCGATTAATGTAAAACTAGACTATAAGCATTTATTATATTTTTATTTAAACAAATTTATATAAATCATTAGTCATTTTTAGTTTTTTTTGTGGTCTTGGGATAATAATATAATATTGAATTCAAAGGCCGGCGGATTTGAAAAATATACTAAACAAATATAAGTGGTTACATCAAGTGGCTTACCCATTATGGCTATTTATTGCTTGGCAGCTTTCGATAATTAAAATTATAGTTGACTTCTAAGGAGAAATTAATTGATTAAATCGCACTCATTGTTGTAACTTTCAATTTCTTAAATTTAAATTATTGTAATATATTTTTATTTTTGTTTCATTTATAACCTTGAGAAATAAAAAATTCAAATGATGTGTCGACGTGGACAAAATGACATCGTTTTAGTATAGCTATTAATGTTCAAAATGATGTCATTTTATGCATTGAACTTTAGGGTGTGTTAATTTTGCTATTAAACTTTTAAACGTTCACTTTTACGCATTGAACTTTTTATCCACTATTGAAAATGAATTGATGATCTTCACCGATCATTATTCGGGACAAGATCGATAAAAACTTTTGTATTTCACTATTATTTCTTCTCATATGATTAATTTTCAACAAAACTCGCCTAGAATCGATGAAATTAAATATAAAAAAACTATCATTTTTAGGGCTTGAGCGTATTAAAAAATTCAGACGTTGAGAAACATTATTTCGAGAAGGTAAACAATATACCTCAAAATTAATCTAACCAAATTGTCATAAGAAGAAATAAGAGTATTAACACATCAAATCTTTAGATAATTTGTCAGTTTATTTTATTTTATTTGAGTAGGTTCACTAGTCACTTTATATAGGATTAGGTATGATTTAGATTCACCTCATAAAAGCAATTTTCCAAACCATGATCATGTAGAGTCACATGAATTGTAATACCAAATAATTGGGCCACTTCCACCACTGAGAACTAAGCTAGGGGAACTGGTGGATACAATTTGGTAAAGATAAGGGTACCTACCAGATGGGACACCTACTTTTACTTTGGTGGCCCTTGTAGGAGCCCTCACTGCCCTGATCATGCATTTCAACCTATTTTAAAACAAGATTGGTGATCATATTCATGGAGGTTTTCCTATTTTCTACTTGATGTTTTGTTTGGATTTTCAATTGTTGCTGGTTTTCTACTCTTTGGTGGACTGATGTAAGATTGTACAATATGTATGTACTCCTCTTCCTGCCTAATTCAACAATATTGAACCACTCACGTAACGATCGTTATTCTGCAGCTTCAGTCTATTATCAACCGACCGGAACAGCATTCATTACGACAAATACAATACACAAAGAAAGAAAGGGAAGCTATATCAATCCATTTAGTTTCAAATCATTGCATCTCACCACAACAGCTACAAGGTTCAGCTTTGGAGTTTCTCATAAGAAAAATATAGAAATGTAATCCATTTCCTTTTCTGTGTAAGCAAACACTTGAACAGCTCTTCAAGCTGTTTCAAGATATCGTGGACCATTATTTGCCAAACTGTCTCTGTCATGTAAATAACTCAACAGTAAATGTTTGGAAGTGTATGTAAGATTGATGGTATCCACAAAATTTGCGATCATCAAGTCAGATATATACTATCTAACACTGCAAATCCGGCTGCAACCCCTCCTTCGTTAGACGATGATACCTTGGTCCGCATCAAGTAGCCGCATTGGTCATTCATGATGACGTTCTCCTTATTCCTGCGAGTGCAAACTGATGACTGTGCATCCCAAATTATAAATGTTGACAGTAAAGATTTAAAGATGTGAAAACCGTTTCAGTCTATCCTCTTCATTTTCTATAGCTGTGTCCGACAAATATATGGAGATTTCACAACATACCCATGATCGGGATTTGATAAGTGAAGAGGGAATTTAATAGCATTATATAAAGCGACACTAGCAGTTGTAATCAGATGAAACAAAACCACAAAGATGTACGTACCTTAAGTAAGCACCGTATACCCCAAGCTCTGATATAGCATGATCTTTATGACAAATGCCATCACGAATCAAATATGTTAGAGAAGCAGCTGGGAAAATCCTCTGCATAAGTATATAGGCACCATCTTCTCCGGAGCCCTCCTTTTGCAATCGTAGAAGGGTTTCTTTCACATCACCACCATAGATATTGTTCCCTGAAGCGGAATTAAAGACTCAATTGTCAACTGAAAGAATACAATGAAGAGCTGTATTTTTATTCTAAAGTCTTAAGATATAGAACCTCCTCCTTCTCTTTGGGGCTTCATAACAAATAACTCGGGTTTTTCTATTGCTTCTTTTATGATGTCCAAGTCAACCAAACTCCACAATCCAGCAAAACATTTCCGTAGTTTGGCGATATCATCTTTGTTGTCGAGGAACCTACTTCCATGGATACCAAAAAAAATTAAAGAAAACAACATGCTATAATCTTTCAAGTCTCAAGATTCATAAGGGTTCCCATTCTTCTACTTTCAATATGTAGTAAATCTTTCAAGGAGGTGGTTCTTAAGTCTAACTCAGTAAATCCGTTGATAAGTTGGACAGAGAATTACTTACCTCTCAAGTACATTAGGTTTTGCAAGTTCTTGTTGAATCTTCTTAGTTCCTGCTAAATGATATGATATTGATGGGCACTTGATAGCTGAAGACTGCTCCATTAGCAGTCTAGCACTCCACTCCTAGAAATCGGAAATGTAACAAACATCAGAAGCACAAATAGTACAAACCGGTCTAATGTTGCTGTAATTCTCAAGGATGACTAGTTCAGAGTGTGTGTGCATGCCTGTGTGGTAACTATAGAAACAGCAAGAATAAAAGAGTATCCATCCAAACCATATTAGTGACAGCAGTTTTTGGAGAATAGCAAGAAAAATGACCGTTAAAATCTTAATTGTGACAAGTGGAAAGAGTTAAATTGCTTACTGATTCTGAAGGATAATCAGCTGGCGTATACCCTGCTCTAAAATAGATAACTGCAACTGCTTGGCCACCTCTACAGGTTCAAGTATTTCAGATATTAAAAGTAGAAGCTGGCTTGCCAATTCTAAAATCTAGACAAGAAAATTCAACTCAATGCAGTACTATGAAGATACATACACAGCAAGTGTGCCATCAGGGAGAAGTTGGCCTTCACTATCAATTTCAGCCAGTGTTTTCCTAATACTTCTTACATTATACGTGAAACCAAGATAAGGAATGCAATGCCAAGTAAGGTCAGGATCAAAGCTTTCAAAAAGGAAAAACAATTGAACATATTTCGTTTTTTATGGAAGGTTTTACCATATTTGTTCAACCAACAGAGATAAGGTTAAAAAGGATATCTTTCCCTCAACACTGTACAAAGCCAATGTTGGTCATACATATTGCGTTCTTCGGTCTGAACAACAACCATAACTACAGCCCTGTACCCAAAAAAGAAGATATTATAAGCGTCAAAATGACTTGAACAATTGCAGCGAGATGAAAACCACCTGGGGTTATTATATTCAGCCCAAGCTTTAGCCAATGCCTCAGCAAACTGCAATCTTGCAGTGTTTCCTGGGATCATTTTAGAATCTAAGCCAAGTTCTTCACCATAGTCATCAAGTAGAGTCCTGCAAAATGACTAGCTATGGTATAGAAACTTGTTGATAATTCAGTTTTCTGAATATCTTTCAAGCTTTTGCATCAGTTAAACAACAAATAGTTCTACTACACCTTTAAGATAAATTTCCGAATATTAGGGACACAAAGAAGGTGTCGTATTGCATAAAGATGTTATTCATGCCTATAGTGGTTATGCTCTTTTCAATTTGGGTTAGCAATTAATATAAGCTGGTGAAACTTCCGTTAGTACTTGATCACTACCAAGCAAAATCCTAAACCCTAAACCCTGATTATAAGATATCCCATCTCGGTGCATCATGACTTCTTCTTTGCATGTTTAAAGAGCACTGCACCTAATTCCCTAAAATTAAACTCAATGTTGAAGTTGCAATAACAAACATGTGCCAATTGACTATTTTTTCTCAATAAGCTTCATTCAACATGCAAATTCCAGCACAGCAATATTCAAACTTAAGCGGGTAAATAATAGAGTTATGTTAGAAATGCAAAGAAAAAATACTTATTTGCTCAACCTGTGAAGGTCGGTCACAAGACAACCAAGACCAGCAAAAGAAGATGAAATTGTGTTCAACTCTATTTGGAGGAGTAATTTGGTTTTCTCATCAAGCATGTAATCTGATCGATGTAAACCCAATCGTATTTCCTGTTTCAGCAATATTCAAACAATGCGTGTTTCCACATTTAGAGCAAATGGTATGGAAAGTATACCTTATAGTACCATTATTATCAAACATCTTTAACAAGATTTTCATGCACCAGGAAAGATAAGAGCTCGTGAAGTAGCTTTTTGTTCTTAATAGAGCCTAGTTTACATGGTAACATAAAAATGGAAAATGAACACTAGTTGAAACAGTGACAAAGAGCATGAAGAACAAAACCTAAGTGCACAGAGATTCCAGAAGTATATCCTAATATCATGTCTCAACATTAGAATCCTCCACTTACTTAATCAAAATAAATCCTTCCCACATTATTAAAGACCAAATATCCATAATCATTACTCACTTACCTCTTTCTTACTCATTTCTAGCATCTTGGAATGAATATCTAAAAGTCTAGAGGTAAAAGCATCTGCTGTTTTGGTCCTGCAATGTCAAACATAGACAAAATCAATTTACAGCAAACAGTCTTCTTACAAAACAAATTCGATTATGGTTCAGAAAATGGCATGTCACTTAAATTCAGCTACAAGAACAAAGTAGATACATAACAAAAAAATATCAACGGCGGGTAGAGATTGAGCAGGACAGCATACCTAGCTAGGGAGTCTTGCAGGAACTTTCCATCTAAACTTACACGGTCGACTAGTTCATTGAAAATTGGAGCTAGTTCACATGCTTGTTTCCAATGGGATTCTGGAAATGGGGTAGGCAACAAAGCAATTGGAGCGTGAACCATGCCGAGACCAGGTAGCTTCCCAGATCTCTGTAATTAGACACACCCCCATCAAAGTCAAGCACAAAAGAATAATATAATCCACACCCTAACTTAGAGCATCTTTCCCTAACTTAACTTGCTGTCTAGATTCACTTTATGAGTTCAACCAGAAGTCAACAACAGAAAAATGGCGACAGAATTGCAAACAAAATTCATTTCAGTGAGAATAATCCTAGCAGAGTATTTGGGATGAAATATGACCTAACAATGACTAAACAATAGGGCAGAAGGATGATTTCAGTACGATCATGTTTGCTGCACTTAAACCATATTATTTTCCCAGTTTACCATAAAACGATCAACCTGAATAGAGAATATGAGGGTAAACACAGAAATGGTAAAAAAGAGTAAATGATAACAAAGAATGAAGAACTGCTGACTGATGAACCTGAACATTTCTGTCACCAACGACAAGGCCATGAAGAGAACTCCAAACAAGAGCATCATATACTATCTTTTGAATCAAACCTTCATCAATACCATGAAAATCAACGATGGGCTTTTGTGCAGCGGCAATACCCTTTTGGATTTCCATCTCGCCAGGTACTCTCCCGTGGTTGAAAGACCCAATTTTTAGACCAGCAAAAAGCGAGTGTTTTTTAGTGGGGAAGAGATGCTTTTGGGGAGTGGGATTGTATAATGCGCTTGTTTTTGGGTGTGGCTTAAAAACATTGATACAAAGTGAGTCAACCGAAGATGGAAGGGAGGAATGACCAACACCCATTTGGACGCTTATCTGGCTCTCATTCAGAATGGCCTATAAGGAAACGAATCCTAAAAAGTATACGACTTAAGCTGTGCAACCAATACAGAAATTAAAGGGTAATTTACCATTAGTCACCAACTTATTAAGTAATTCTTTCTATTTGATTACTAAACTTTTTTTTTTGATAAAATCGTTATTAACATTTTATTTTTTTATTGTGGTCGCCAAAATAAAAGATATAATGCTTATCTTCTCGACTCTCCACCCATAGCTGTTAATGTTCTTATTCTTCTGTAAGCCTAAGCATCTAAGCTCCCCACTCATGATTTTAAGTTCGTTGTTAATCTTCTTTAACTCTGCTTTGAGATTGTTAGGATGCCGTTGGTTTCCTGTGATTTGATTTGAGTTGAGTTGATAGATCCAATTGTATTTATCGTAAGATGAAATACATCAATAAAATAAACCACAATCAACCTTGGATTTCCCCTTCCTGCATATAATCGAATCAGTACAACAACTGCATCGGAAAAATGAAACAAGCTTGAAGTAGAGATTGATGGAAAACATTATAATTTAGAGTGAATGGACATCAAAATCTTGGACATGAAAGTGCTTGCAACGGATGCTTCAGCCTTACAGAGAACTCATGCTGTTCTTCCATATTGACATCATATCCACCCCGAGCTTTCCATTCAAAATTCCACGCCAAATTTGCCACAAAATACTCTAAATGAAGTATGGCCAATGCATACGCCGGACAAATCCTTCTTCCTGCACCAAATGGCATCATCTTTTTCTCTTTGCTCCCTGTTATATCAAACCCCTCTCCATCTTCTTCCTCATCATTTAGAAATCTTTCTGGTTTAAACAACATCGGCTCTTCCCACAATTTGAGATCCATCCCCATATCTCCGATCATGAAGTTTACACTCCCATTTCTTGGAAGCAAATAACCATGTAAAGCCACGTCCTTTGTCACTGCATGAGGCAGCAAAAAGCGAAGCGGTGGATGTTCCTTCTAATACCACTGCTTTTAGATGCGGCATCTTATGCAAATCATCTTCTTTCACCATCTTCTCTTCGTGTCCGATCACTCTTTTCATCTCTTCAAACAGCTTCTCCTGGATATCTGGGTGTTTCACCAAGTTTGCCATGATCCATAACAGAAGTGCCGATGTATTATCCGTTCCTCCGTTGAGAAATTCCGAGCATAAACCCAGAATTTCTTCTACATTCAGGCTCCTATTCTCTTCTGGTAGCTTCACATCCAACAAGGTATCAATGTAGGATGAGAAGTCTTGTTTGTTATTTTCTTCTTGCTTAACCTTGTTTCGATTTAGTATCAATGGTATGATCAAGCGTCTCGCTTCTTCTTGTAGCTGTAACATCTTTTTCCCTTGTTTATAAAACATGATCATTGTTACTCTCGGCATGATCGAAACCATGCTCATTTCACCGAAAGTACGCATCATATCTCTCTGGACATCAGCTATTTCCTTGATTTTCTTGACTTCAAGTTCTTCTCCGAAGCACATGAAGGCAAGCAGGCTAAACATGGAGTTCCGGAACTGATCCATCACTTGGACCGAATGATCAGCAGATTGATCAGACTGAAGCTTAAGGGGTTTCAAGAGTCTCCCCAACTTCATCTTGCGAGCAGGTGAAAAGATCTCACACGAGAAGGATGGAGCATTTCGGCGGTTAGGTTACGGCGGAGCACACGCCATGTGGAGCCGTAGTTGGAGGTGGTGATAAAGACTTCCTCTTTACCATCCAAAGCTGGAGGACGGTCCGCAAAAAGGACATCGTCATGAACCAAGGCTTGGTGGGCGAGAAAGCGATCGGCGATGAAAATAGCCCGGCGATAACCGAAGTGGAGGGTGATTATGGGACCGAATTTGGCATGAAGGGAGTGAAGTATATTATGAAGTCATTAAAAGATTTGCGGAAGAAGAACAAGTTGCCAACCATGGGGAGAGGACGTGGCCCTGGTGGCAACTTTGGGGAGAGATAGTTAAAGATGAGTTTGAGGACAACAGCGATGGAGATGAGGAGACGATGAAGAACGAAACCGCCATTGTCGAGAATGGTTACTGCATGCTACAAGAGATTCCAACGTGTATGCTTTATATTTTACAAAGGTTTATAGAATTTAATCTCTATACCTCCATTTTATGATATTATATACTAGTTTACAAAGGTTTATAATTATTTTTTAGGGTTAACTACACAAATGATCTTTTATGTTTGTGTTTTGTCCAATTTTGATCATTGATTTCAAAATACATAAGATATAATCACCTTCACTTTTATTTAATTAAGATATTGTCACTTTTGTTTTTATTTATTTAAGTGACGATATTTTGGTATAATCACATATTTGGTCCCTATTATTTATATATTATCTTAATGTAGTCATACTTTTAATAAATTAAAATAAATTTAATCCTCCAATCGAACGATGTCACGTTTCACTGGTGCCATGTGTCACCATTCAGTTGGAGGACTAACTTTATTTTAATTCATTTTAATTTAATATATTTATTTTCCACCAATTTGCTTTGCTTTGTTAAATTAAAATAAAGTCAAACTTCCAACCGAATAGTGACACTTGACACGATGTATGATACCAATGACAGTGACATCATTAGATTGAATGATTAAATTTATTTGAATTTATTAAAAGTATGACTACATTGAGAGAATATGTAAATAACATGGACCAAATGCGTTATTATACCAAAACATTTAGCGGCAGTTAACCGGTGGTGAACACATCTTAATTAAATAAGATCGAAGTAGAACATATCTTATGTATTTTGAAATTTGTGACTAAAAGTGGACAATACACAAACATAAGTAATCATCCGTGTTCAAGTGATAATATTTATTATAATAATTTAATTATTTAATAATAAACCCTCAAATACCTCACGAATTTCATACCTATTAGCATAACAACTATTATAGAGACCATTGATATATTTAAATCATTTATAAACACCTCAATGGATAAAGCCGGAAATTGGTTAGGAACAAAAGAAAACTTTTGAAATTGTCTTTTGTCTTGTAGAGCTTAGCTGTCTGATGGTACTAAATAAAAAAAAGCAAAATGTCAATTCACTATAATTTAATTTTAAAAAAAATCAAATTCTTCTCATTAAAATTAAAATCTGTTTATAGTTAAGATGGTGTATTTTAGTAAAATTATAATTCTATTTTCACATTCAATTTCAAATTGATATTTAAAAATTAATATTAAAAATATTAATCTCAAATAAATCCGACTTGAACTGAACCGAACTCATCGGATTGTGCAGACCCTAATCCTTAAACATATCTAACAAAACAAACAGGAAAGTTTCAATTAGGTAGGTCTATCATATTAAAACAAAAACCCAATAATCAGAGATAGGAATCAAAGCAGATGAAGATACTTTCCCAGATAGTCCAAATAAATTTTAATCATAATTATGAAGCATCTTGGCTGGAACTATCAGTTCACTCCAAACTGCTCTTTGTGTTTTGAGTATTTGTCGGATTCCATAGTTTCACCATCTTCTACTCAATCTCTAAATAACCCTCTCATAAATTATTTTATGGATCCTTTTTATCATATTATCAACGATCCCAACCAATTATAAAGATATACGTTAATCTTTTTTCTATGTCATTCACACGCATAGATTTTATTTTCCAAACAAGTCTCGTCATTGATGTACAGTAAAAACTCTTTAAATTAATACTCGGTAAATTAATAAACTCTCTAAAATAATAAATTTGTATGGTCCCGACTTGGGCCAATGTAAAAAATTGAAAAACTCGATAAAATAATAAGATAATAATTTTTCGTGAGATCCCTTTATAATTTTCGGTCCCAAGAAAATCATAAATTAATAATTCATAAAAACTGAAAAAAAATATTACACTCTATTGAAATATGATTCAATAGTTGTCTATTTTCCTTTAAAGTTCAAGTCTATTTGGAGCTCATTATTAATTTAACTCATCCCTTGCAACGTAATTCTAAGAGGCATAGACTAATTTGCCTTTTTATTTGGTATGTACAGTATAATTACTTAAAAACTCTTTAAATTAATAATTATTAATTTATCGATAAATTAATAACTCTCTAAATTAATAAATTTCTCCGGTCCTGACACTATTAATTTATAGAATTTTAACTGTATATCAAATTAATTAAACCTAAATTTAAGCATTGTTTTTGGGTCTTCATTAATTCATATAAAAAAGTTTTACTTTCTTTCATATATATTTTCTTCTTTCAGAGTTTATCTTTGTATCTCTGTTCATCTAAGTTCTTTTTCATGGCTTTCTACATCAAAGTACCTAAAGTTTTCATTTATTAAGTCATGAGGGTCATAAAAAAAACTTAAATTTAGGTTTATGCCACAAACTGCTTTGTGTTTTGAGTATTTGTAGGATTGCATAGTTTCATCGGCTTCTATTCAACCTCTAGATATCGAAAAATTATTAGATGGATCTTGCACATCACGTCATCTCATCCTAAAATATTTTTTTATTTCATTTTTTTCCTATCATGAATCTCTACTTCTTTCTTATGTGTAAATAAGAAGTGGTCGGTTATTTAAAAATTATTTTAAAATGAATAAATGTGATTCACTGGGACATGAATGACGTGACGAGTCAAAACTATAAAATAATTTCTCATAAATATCCCTCTCGGAATAGTTTAAAAATTTGTTCATTTATTTGCTTGCCCAAATTCAATGGCGACAATGACGTGCTTACTGAAGACTCACAAAGGTAATATCTCAAATATAATTATATATATATTGGTAGAGGCATATATAAGCTTGTAGATTTCATGGACATAATCGTGGTCAAAGCCTAGGGTTTATATGAGCTTGTAATGGATACTTCATCACTATAGTAAACTCTTGTTTCTCTGATAAATCTACCTCGTCGCCATTCACAGCACTCCACTTGAACCTCCAAATCAAATTAGCCACAAAATATTCCAGGTGAAGCATCGCCAATGCAAGGCCTGGGCAGATCCTTCTGCCCACCCCAAATGGCATCATCTTAATCTCCCTACTCCCACTTATGTCAAACCCTTCCCCCATTCCATTAAACCTCTCGGGCTTGAATTCCATGGGATCCTCCCACACCGTCGAGTCCCACCCCATCTCCGCCACCATAAAATTCAACGTCGCCTTCTTTGGCACCGACCAACCGTTCAAAACCACGTCTTCCGTCGCCGCATGCGGTACCACGAAATGTGCCGGAGGGTGACGCCTTAAAGTTTCCAAGATGACAGCTTTGAGATATGGCATATTATGTACATCTTCTTCTTTCACCATTTCAGTGCTACCCTTCTCTCCCATGACCAATTTGATTTCCGTGTATAGTTTTTCTTGTATGTTTTGATTCTTAACCAAATTCGCCATGATCCATTGCAGAGCTGTTGATGTAGTATCGGTGCCTGCAATAAGAAACTCCGAGCAAAGTGTAACCATTTCTTCTTCCTTTAACTTTCTGTTCTCTTCGGGAAGTTGAAGATCTAACAATGTATCAACATAGGCTAAGACGAATTCATGATCGGTTTCTTGTTTCATTTCGATCTCTTTCTTTATGTTTCTTCTTGCTCTTATCAGAGGGATCAAAACATCGTCTACTTTTCTTCTTAATTGCTTGAACTCTAGCCATCTTCTACGAAATATAATCTTTGTCACACTTGGCATGAAATTTAGTACGTTGAATCTACGAAGATCCAATAGAAAGGTACGATGGACGTCCTCGATTTTTCGTACCTGTTCCGTTTCGAGCTTGTCGCCGAAAGACATCAGTACTAGCAAGCAAAACATGGCATGTTGGAAATGGTTTAGTACGTAAACTGGCCCACCGGATTCATGCTGAGACTCGAGGCGATCCAACAAGATTTTGAGCACCCAATTGCGTGCATGGTTGTAGGATTTTACACGCGAAGGATGGAGAATTTCAGATGTTAAGTTGCGCCTCAAGAGGCGCCAAAGAGGGCCGTAAAAGGCGGAGCTGATGTTGAAAGCTTTGTTGGTGACAAGGGGCTCAGGGCGGTCGGCGAAAACCACACCGTTTTGGATCAAGGCATGGTGAGCCAAGGAACGATCCGCGATGAAGATGGCGGGGTGAAAGCCAATCCAGAGGGTGACGATAGGACCAAACTTAGCGTGGATGGATCGGAGTCTTTGCTCAAATTGGGAAGAAGATAGGCGGAGCCATAGAAAGTTTCCGATGATTGGAAAGGTCGAAGGCCCTGGAGGAAGACGGTGAGAGTGTTTGCCGGTGGTGATAAGAAGGTTGAAGCTGTACATGATGACAGCAGACATGCAAATGGAGAAGAGGATGATGACCCCTGGCTCCATTTTTAGTGGAAGCTAAGCTGAGTTTAGTTGTAATGGTAATGCAGTGAAGACCTAGCTATTTATTAAGCAGGAAAATAGAGGGAATGCGTACATTTTTTTAGTTCGATGTCGAATGATTTGGTTGATTATTAATGTCCTATTATGAACATGTATTAGCTTTCTCCGAGGTAATACTCTTAATTTATTCTCACGGTGGTGTTACCTATGTCCTATGTTTTCTTGTAATTTCCAAATTTTGGATCCTATGTTTGTTTGGATATAACAACTTTTTTTAATAATTTAGGGTTAATAAAAAGCAGTTTATGTATAAAGGTAACACTTACATTCCTAATCTTCATGTTCGAACTCGAAACCTCAATAAATAATAATAATTCTTTTACCACCAATATCTTTTAGTTCGTGCCGATGTTACAAATGCACTCGAAGAAAATAAGGAATTAATATTATTTAATTAAGAAGCATTCTAGTTTTTATTAACTATTTAAAAAATTACAAGTGCAGCTGTAACTGGATTTTTAGCCACTAAATTTTCTGTGGTTAATTAAATTTTAGGGTAAACTATATGTTTAGTATCTTAATTATTACTTTTATTCCGATTTCGTCATCTAATTATTGTTTTTAAAAGTATTTATAACATTTAATTTTAATTTCATTTTAGTTATCTGTCATGTCATTAAGAGATTATAATATTTTGGACCCATACATAAACTGGTTTATCAATCTAACTGCATAGACTACATTGGGCTCCTCAAGCAATGTCGATGAAACAGCCTACACTACTGCTAATTCACTTAGACAAAGGCCTAGAGTTCCAGGATTGGAAAGGGTCCATATCCAAGTCCTCAAAACCGAACTCCAGAAATTTATATCTGAACGTGGACAGGAAGGGTTTATGCCGATGAGAAAGCAGCTTTGTCTGCAAGGCATAGTGGGTATCGAGAAAGCAATCACACGCTCGGGTCGAATTAGAAGGATTGCATCTTTGATGAACCTCTCCCTTGCATACAGACAACGCAACCCAAAGGGAAACTGGGACAACCTTGAGAATCTGCAGGAGGAGGTGAATTGTTTTTGTTACTGTTTCAAGTGTTTCTCTTTCAACTCAACGTTCTAGCACTGTACACGTCCGGTAATCAGCCCAATGAGATGGTAGAAACTTATTGTGATACAGACTGATCATAAGATGTACAAGTTGATACTGAGGAACTATCTAATTGCCCTGTTTCACCTTGCAGATTAATCGATTCCAGAGGAGCTGGGGGATGGATCCACCCTTTATGCCCGATAGAAAGTCATTGAGCATGCAGGTTTGTTGAAAGGTCATTCAAAGTAGCATTACTGTGATCATTTATCCATCATTTAGTTCACTCGATCGAATTCTCACCCCTAGTTGTATGCGCATTGGAGAAAAGGGTTTGGGGTGGGGGGGCTTCATGATGTTTCTCGTCTGATGTCGCTCAAGGTCCGAAAGAAGCACCTGAGTAGTGCCAAGGAAAAGCTGATAGACGACATAGCAGCAAGTAGTGGCGTAGAAAGTGAAGCAAAGACTCCCATATTGAAACCATTATGTCTCGCAAAATACACACACGTGACTCACAAAGCTAAAAGATTTAGACATTAATTTGGCTGAATAATTCATTGATGAATATAGTTATTGTAAGGTAAGTACCGATACAGCTATTATCGTATCATGGAATCAAAATGTCCGATGTCGTTTAACCGGTGCAATAGACACGGTTATGACGACGATACTTGTCGTCTCTCTGCTTGCCCCATTCATGAATCCTGAGATGTAGCTCTGCAGCTGCTATCAGAAAATACACAGCCTGCTTTGGGCTCAATATTTCAATCACAGCTTTAAGTGTTGCCAGCCTAAGCTCATCCGCCCTCTGTAATATTTCCTTCATTCCTTCCTCCTTCGACTCCATGGCCGACTCGACTTTCTCCTTCTCAACTTCATCCCCTCTCCTCATCATTTCCGATGCCATATTCGATAGCTCGACCATCGACGAGTCCGCCACCGTCTCTTGATGCTTCGCCATCTTTTCGCTTATCTCTTTTTCCTCCCTAATGGTCTTCCCCTGCAGCTCATTGACTCTCCACATCTGTGTTGGCGAGAGATCACCCAGATCTCCCCTTCCCAACCCACGAATCAGCTCGTCGAGTTGGTCCTCGAGCTGGATCCCTGATTTCGAGTAGAGCAAGTGAAAAGCCATGCTGGGCCTCCATCCCCCGATCCAAAGAAAGGCATCCTCGAACCTGCTGGTCCATGAAGGTGATAACATGGCCAACACATCCTGCTTACCCCACTTGTCCTTGGCCTTGTAATAATGCTCGTAATGCTCCATCACCCTCCGGACGAGCAGACGCAGGCTCTGCTCGTCCACACTGCTCGGCTGCTGCGTAGCAGCAACCAGCTCCTGGAGATGCCGGTTTTGCTCCACGAGCCAGCAGTCGAAGAAGCTTTTGAACGTCTCAGGCTGTCTCGAGTCCATGTAGGCTTCACAGCTTGGAAGTAGAGCCATGGCCCTCATACTAGATATATGGAAGAGAGACGGCGGATGCTATACGAGGCATGAGCTATGGTTCAACGTATTTTCACGTGACAGCTTGATTAAGGAAAGTGTAATGTGAATAGTTGGTGTTGCTTCCGTCACCAATTTGTCGGATTCATGAGTTCCTTAGGGAAGAAGATGATGGAAATGTTGTGTGCAACTAAATCGGCCAATCAGAGTTGGGGTTTGATCTGGTTGGAGCCAGCAATTTGCGGTGCTGCATGTGCTCGTCGTGTATATCTGTCTACAGACGTTTATTAAATACACAAAAACAAGAGGCAATTTGCGCGTTGCCTTGTAACTTGCGATCTGATTCCTTGTCGGATTTGTAATCCTACTCAATATCAAAGCAACCCAGACAACCTGGATCATTGTCGGTTTGTGGCTACTGCTCTGTTTTTTAGTGTCTTCTAGGTAATATATTATATAGGTTTTACTATAAAACAACTCCTATTTAAATTATTATTTTTAACTAAAAACAATTCAAGAAAAATAAAAGTAAAATAATATAGAAAGATGAGATAAGGAATTGATTTATAAGAAAATGGTCACTCCACGTTAGCCCTTAACATGTGTGACGTAAATTTTCATAACTATTTTTTTTAAAATAAATATTAAAAAATAATTATGACTTTATTATTTTAGAAAAATTGATATTTTGAATTAAAATGAATAGGAGTCGTCATCGGCCTTTGGATTAGCTAGGTCGAATACCTAAAAACGTATTTTTAAAACAATTTTAAGAAAAATCATTTTTTAGACAAAAATTTGTTTGCGTTATGAGAAAAAATTTTAGGGTTCGGAAGTCGATACGCGTGAAGAAGGATAAGCACCCCACAGCGCCCAAAATTGGTACTTAGCCGCTTATATGTTGACGTAATGGTGGAACTTAAAATTCGAATCAAAAGTAAAATTACGATCTATTTATTGAATATTAATTAAATTAAAAGAAAATCATTTAACTTGATAAGAAATCCCGAGATTTGTAATCCTTCATCGGGAAAACTATCTCACCTATTTCTTATCCGTAAAGAATATTCTATCTTTGAATTACTAAAAAAATGATATAGAAAATGGGCATAGAATAAAATCATGATTCATTTGTCATTGAACATACCTCATTGATACTACTATTTAAATATAACAAGATAAAAAATAAAATTAAAGCATTCAACATTGTAAAAATAGAATAATAACAAAGAAATAAAATAAATAAAATAAAAGATAACGATTTCAATAAACTCATATAAAAGTAATTGTGTTTTCAAGTTCATATTCCATTAGAATATCGTATCGGATTGCACCACTTCGATCAAATGATACTTTCCACGTCCGTTCTACGAATAATGTTTTAAAAAATATTTCGGGTGTATATATATTAGGGAAATTGTGAATGTCAAACGAATTAAAACACAACTAAGCTTAGTATCCATATCCTAAAATAATTGAAATTTATTATAATAATGAGATGCCTTAGTAAAAATATGCATTTATATATATATAAATATAGTCCAATAATAATCCATATAAAAAATAAAGATAGAATAAAATAAAACCAACCACCTATATGAATCAAAGTAACAAATATAATATTAGTACGAAAAAAAGGTTGAACCGAAACTGATTAAAATAATAGGGTCTAAACAAGTAAATAAACCAAACTAGATCTAAACAATGAGCAAAAAGTACATCAGAGTAATTTTAAGGACCTAGAGCTTAAATTACCCTTTTCATATAGTACAAATGAGGGACTAAAATGTAATGAAAGTAAAACACATAGGCTAGATTCAATATTTAACCCAAAATGTAGAAACAATGATCAAAATATAAATTTATTAAATGCAGAGGATAATGTCTGATATTAACAAAACATACGCAATAACAACAAAGTGACCATATATAAGTTTACAAATGTAGTGCACGAAATACAAAATAAATAAGTTACAACAAATGACTGAAAAAGAAAATTACAAAAACAGAGGCCCTATAACATAGATTACCCACACGCTGAAATTACAACCCAGATCCCTCACCAAACGGCGTCGTTTGGGACCATATATATAAGACCGAACCGTAGGCTTAATTTCGGCCTAACGATTCATTTCTCATTTCCTTCCTCTCCTTAAAAAATAGAGAGCCAAAAGGCTCTCAAGCCTCTCTCCCTCTCCGCCTTTTCTCCGCAGTTGAGAGAAAATAGAGAAGTCATGGTCGTCGTAGTCGACGGCGATGGTGCAGGAAAATAACCCCAAAACCAAACCCTTGGCTTCTTCCTATCTTCAAGTGATCTGGGTCGTTGGATGAGTTCATATCTTAGGGCCATGGTTGAGCGACGCTGGGGTAGAAGTCACTAGAAACCCTAATGTATTTAGGGTTTCGATAAGATGGGTCGGGTTGGATCGGATCGGGGCTCTGGGTCATGCCATTGGGCTTCGAGTTAACTGGATTTTTCTTGTTGGGCTATCTGGGTTGGGTCTTCGGTTTTGTTGTTGGGTTATCTGGGTTTCAGGCCTGTAAAATGTAAATTAATAATAATAATAATAGCAATAATAATAATAATAATAGTAATAATAATTAAAAATAATTTAAAACCAAACCCGAAAAAATGGGTGTCTACAAAAATAATATAGAAAGATGAGATAAGAAATTGATTTATAACAAAATGGTCACTCCACGTTAGCAACCCTTAACATGTGTGGCGGAAAGTTTCTACGTGGCTGAACAAATTTTCTCCAAAATTACTAATGATGTTAATATGTTAAACTCACTATCATTACAAACTAATATTTTATCTACACGGCCGAATACTGCAACTTGCAAAATATGCTAAAAGATATTGTTCATCAACAAAATAATGTGTTTATTACTGTCATGGGAGTAGTTTCCAACGAAACGAGAAACAATATTGTGAATTATTTCTTGATAGTTGTCTCTCTTTGGCTATTAAATCTATAGTCTTATCGGAGATATTATTCAAGTTTTTATTCGAGTTTAAAGTTTGTATGTAATAATAGACTTAGGGGTTATTTGTTTGGCTCTGAATGATTCAGAGCCAGCAATTTGCGGTGCTGCATGTGCGTCGTCGTGTATATCTGACTACAGACGTTACTAAATACACAAAAACAAGAGGCAATTTGCGCGTTGCCTTGTAACTTGCAATCTGATTCCTTGTCGGATTTGTAATCCTACTCAATATCAAAGCAACTCAGACAACCTGGATCATAGTTGGTTTGTGGCAACTGCTCTGTTTTTTAGTGTCTTCTAGATAATATATTATATACGTTTTACTATCAAACTACTCCTATTTAAATTATTACTTTTAACTAAAAAAATTCAAGAAAAATAAAAAAAAAATAATATAGAAAGATGAGATAAGAAATTGATCTATAACAAAATGGTCACTCCACGTTAGCAACCCTTAACATGTGTGTGACCGAAATTTCTACGTAGCTGAACAAATTTTCACCAAAATTACTAATGATGATAATATGTTAAACTCACTATCACGACAAACTAATATTTTATCTACATGGCCGAATACTGCAACTTGCAAAATATGCTTAAAGATATCGTTCATCAACAAAATGATATGTGTTTATTACTCTTTGGCCATTGATGCACTTCAGAAGATGGTTCAAGGTAGTTGAGTGTGTTATTTTGCAGCACATAACCCAATTATTGTTATAGCAAAAATTGGATATATCCCATTGATATGTCTGTAAATTTTAAATGGTGATTGTATGTTATCGGAAGATATTTGTATGGGGTGATATTTGAAAGGACTTAGGGTTAGGGGAAGGTGAAGCATCCCTAGATTATTATTTCCATCTGCCAAAACTCATTGGTAGCTAATTTTACGTTAGAAAGAAAGATACAAGACAGAGCTAAGATTTGTGGTTGGATTTAGATTTTCATGCAGGGTCTTGTTATATATCTGCTTTTGACAGGGTAGGCTAGTAATCACTGTTGCCATCTGTTTTATACAATGGGCGGCTGAACTTGAGGTGACTGTTGAAATTTGGTAGAAGTATTTGTTTTTGAATAACTAGTTTGTAATAACCTTAAATGGTAAGTATGTCTTATGGTTTTAAATACTTCTTCCTCAACTATCTGTATGCATGGTTTTAATTACTAATTAATGGAAGAACTGAGTCATTGATTACCTTAAGTGCTAGCAAGATGCCTTTATGATGCTATCTCAAGAATGAAGGAGGCTGTTGAGCAAGGAAATGCAATTGCCACTGTGGCAGAAGGGTTGGGAAATGCAATTGCCATGCTGGATATTACAAGATGCCTTTAAGAATGAAGTAGTGCTCTTACCATGCAGATTGAAACCTGTGATTTCTTGGTTAACATTTTGTTTTGTTTGTCATGTTCTTTTCAGGACCACATGGCTTCGTGGAAACTTTGAGGGAGCGGATGTTAAAGCCATCCTCGTCAAATATTGTTGCAGAAAATTCGACGTAGCTGTCGATGGCCTTTTATTTTAAAATTCAATTTCCTAGTAGCCATGTTTGTTTTATTGCTTCATTTACCAACCCTTGTAACTTCTTCCTTTTTCAGTGTTGCAATTGTTTCTTCATCAGACTCTGTCTCTGTTGCTGCAAAAATGATGCGGGATTTGCAGGTTAATTCAGTTGTTACACTTTGGGGAACAAAATTCAGGACATACTAACGTAACTTAATTTTTTAGTAATAATTTTTTGGACTGTTACACATATTTGGTATGGATTTAAAGGTCTATGTTGAGTCATTTGACATATCTTGTGATTTCTAATGGTTGCTTTAATGCTACGAACTGCAGTTCAAAGGATATCTGTAAGGTATAGCTCATAAATATACCGGAAAAGAGGACAGGGGATGGAATGGAGTGAGCGAAGCGAACATCAACTGTCCTTACAAAGAAAGTCTCATAGAGGGGGTTACGATTATGTGGGTTGGGAGTGCGGGGGTTGTGCCCCCACGGTACGGTACAGGGTTAATTTTGGAATTATGTACCAGGGTTTTCTATTATAAATAGAAATGTAACCTAAACCTATTATCATTGAATAAAAAATTTTCTAACGCCGCCTAGGCACCGAGGACGTAAACACATTGCCGAACCTCGTTAAAATTCTTGTGTTCTTTTGTTTACTTTGCCCGATCCTTATGCGAGATGTGGCACAAAATCTATCTCCTGGGCTTACACCAGTGGAAAAGGTTC